TTACCGTGGTGTGTGCAGTGGCTCACTCGGAGGTCTGCTGCTGCCGCCCCAGGATCCCTGCTGTGAGCAATATTACCCGAAGGCCTGCTGAGCTGCACCCCTGAGATGGCTTCTGGTCATTTGCTCCTGGGCTTGGGTGCCAAGGAGAGCTGGAGGATAGCCAGGCCTCTCTTTCCATGCTCCCTCTCCCTTCTGCTAGCAGGGCCTGACCAGCGTGGTGATGTCAAGGTCGCCAAATCTCTTACAGGGTCTGGCTTTTTCTAGAGCAAGCATGCCACAGACCGAGTTGGAAGCTGCAAGGTTTCGAAGCTAGCATCACTTTTCTAAAGGTCTGTTGGTGAGCAGAGAGTCACAGGACCAGGCTGATTGGAGCAGAGAGGACTGCATGATCTTGGTTCTTTGGAGACTGTCTTTGGAGATGAGCTGCCAGAGGAGTGCACTCACATTGGAGCCCCTTGACACTGCTGTCTTAGCCTCAAGGGAGAGCATATGAATTTAGAACATCCCGAGTTCATTCTGTTGGCTTCTGGCTTCTGCCCCGTGCAGCTTAGCCCCCTGTGCATAAAGGAAACTAGAATACTAGTTAATGCCTCCATTTAGTGGCCTCTTTTATCTCCTTTCAAAGGCTGCATCAAAACAAAAAATGGTCTGCCATATATTTTATTTTTCTTTTCTCAACTCCCAATTCTCTCTTTATAGTTATTTCCAATTTAGATGTCATAAGATTCATGTGCAACTTGAACCCCTGCCTTTCTCCTCCCTCAAAGTTTACCTTCATCTAATCTAGTGGAAATCAAGGGCAGGAGTAGGAAAGTAGCTTTTTGTCTTACCTCCCACCCTAATTGTTCATATGGTATCATTTCCCCACATCAGCTGACCCTAGCTGTCCCCGGTGTTGTCGGGGCTTGCTGCTAGTTATTGCCCAGAATTTTTGGATTGGTTCCCTTGATAGTCTGCCTGTGTGGCAGCAGAAGTATCAGCGTCTGTCTGGTAGGTCCACTGGTTCCAGGATCCCCTCACACAAGGCTGTAGGGGGATATCACACTTTATTGAAAGGGTTGAATGGATGAAGCTTTAGTTTTCGGAGTGGAATAATTCCTTCTTGGGTGGACATGTCTCGTGTTATATAACACTCAGCATCCCTGGTCCTGGGAAACTGAAATCTGGTAGCCCACCCTAATTATTGTGATAGCCACAACTCTTCCAGATGCTCCCAAGCACTCCTGGTGAAGGGCAAATGTTCCAGATTTAAAACTACTAGATTAGAGTCATTAAAGAAAACTCTATTTAAAAACAGAAAATTTTCAAAAAATTGACAACTATATGTTTTCCTATAATCAAAGGGAAAACTATTTACGAAGTTTCGTGAATCCCTTTAAAGGCCTTCTTAGTTTTTAACCTGGTTTCTTTGTCTTTCCCTGTCTCTAAAATCCTTTCCTTCTTCACAAAACCACACTGCCTACCAGCAGAGATTCTAGTCTGTTAATACAGCCACTAACCTCATGTGTCTGCTGAGCACTTAAAATGTGACTAATCCAAACTGAGATATGAAAATACACTTAGTACAAAAGAGATAAAATATTCTAATAATTTTTATATTGATACATTTTGAAATATTTTTGATATAAGGTAAATAAAATGTTGTAATTAATTTCTACCAGTTTTTTAAATGTGACTACCAGGAAATTTTAAATTATATGTGTAGCTTACAGGTTTGTTTTGTTTTTTTTTTTAAAGGTTTTATTTATTTATTTGACAGAGCACAAGCAAGGGGAGCAGCAGAGGAAGAGGGAGAAGAAGGCTCCCCACTGAGCAGGGACCTGGGGTCATGACATGAGCCAAAGGCAGATGCTTAACTTACTAAGCCACCCAGGCGCCCCTGGGTTATGTTCTGTTTCCAGTGGGCAGTGCTGATAAATTACGTCTCACTGTGGGGCCCAGGGGTTCAGTCTGGTTGGGTAAAGGAACTTAAAGCTGCACTTGCACTGTACATTATATAAGGTTGGGGAAGCACAGTCAGTCTAAAAGATAAAAGACCTGGGGGATTCTTATTTTTTACTCTGATAAAACACACATAACACAACATTTACCATTTTTAAGTAAGCCACGTAAGTGGTACTAAGTACATTCACATTGCTGTGCAACTGTCACCGTCATCTTCCCAACTGAATATACCCGTTAGACACTTAATGCCCCACACCCTTTCACCCAGCCCCTGGCAGCCACCTTACTGCTTTCTGTCTTTGAATTTGACTAGTCTAGGTAATATGATGGTGGAGTAAGAGAATATTTGTCCTTCTGCGATTGGCTTATTTTACTTAGTGGGATGTATTCAGGGTTCATCCATGTTGTGGCATATGTCAGGGTTTCCTTTCTCTCTCATTCTGTTGTATGTGTACGCCGCTTTTGTTTATGCATCTGTCAAGGGACACTTCAGTTGTTTCCACCTTCTGGCTATTGTGAACAATGCTTTTATGAACATAAGTACACAAACATTTGTTTGAGCCGCTGCTCTCACTTCTTTGGGATATGTTCCCAGGGGTGGAATTGCCAGATCATACTGCAATTCTCAGTAATTTTTTGAGGACTCACCATACCCTTTTTACAACAACTTTCTGTTTTGCATTCCCACCAGCTTACAAGGATTCCACTTTCTTCACATCCTCATAAGTACTTAAAACTTTCTGGGTTTTGTTCTGTTTTGTTTTTAACAGTGGCCATCCTAATGGGCATGAAGTGGTATCTCATTGCAGTTTTGATTTGCATTTTCCTAATGATTAGTGAAGTTGAGCATCTTTTCATGATCTTGTTGATATTTGTATACCTTCTTTGGAGAAATATGTGTTCCAGTCCTTTGCCTGTTGTTAAAGCAGATTATTTTTGTTGTTGTCCAAATGTGGGAGTTTTTTAATATATTCCTGAATCAATTGTTTAACAGATATATGATTTGTAAATATGTTTTTCCATTCTCTCAGTTGCCTTTTCACTTTTGATAGTGTTCTTTGATGCATAAAACCCTTTAATTTTGATATAGTCCAACCTACTTTTTCTTTTGTTGACTATGCTTTTGACAATCCTATCCAAGAAATCATTGACAAATCCAATGAAGCTTTCTCCCTATGTTTTTCTCTAAGAGTTCATAGTTTTAGCTCTTATGTTTAGGTCTTTTATCTATTTTGAGTTAATTTTTGCATATGTTGTAAGATAAGGGTCCATTTTCATTCTTTTGCATATGGATATCCAGTTTTCCCATCATCATTTGTTGAAAAAGACTGCTTCTTCTTCATTGAATGGTTTTGGCACCCTTGTGGAAAATTATTTTACCACACAAGTGTTTATTTCTAGGCTCTCTAATCTATTCCACTGACATATCTGTCTTTATGCTGTGGCTGTACTACCTTGATTACCATAAATTTGAAGTAAGTTTTTAAATCAGAATGTTGTGGCTATTTGCAGGTCCCTTGAGATTTCATATAAATTTTAAGGTGAATTTTTTAATTAAGTCTACTAATGCATGAACATAAGATATCTTTCCATTTATGTGTATTTTTAAAAAAATTTCAGCAATGTTTTGTATTTTTGGTGTCCAAGTCTTTTACCTGCTTGGCTAAGTTTATTCCCAAGCATTTTATTCTTTTTGATGCTACTGTAAATGGGATCGCTTTCTTAATTTCCTATCTAGATTATTAATTGTTAGTATATAGAAATGCAACTGATTCTTGTGTATTGATTTTATATCCTGCAACTTTGCTGAATTTATTTACTAGTTCTAACAGTGTTTTTGTGGAACCTTTAAAGTTTTCTGCATATAATATGCCACCTGTGAACAGAGATAATTTTGCCTTTTTTCTCTCCATTTTGGATGCCTTTTATTTGCTCCCCTTGGTCTGACTAGGACTTCCAGTGTTATGTTGAATCGACTGCTGAAAGCAGGCTTCCTTATCTTGACTTGAGGGGACTCTTGACGGAGATTATGTGGGGGTGCCTACCTGCGGCGCTCCTCCACTATCTCCTGCCTGCCACAGGGGTGGGACTGTTGGAAGATTTGTAGCCTACTTCCCAGAATTGTAGTTCCCTAAATCTCAGTTACGTGGACCATAATAATGCTCAGGCCAGTGAAGGTCTTTGGAAGGATGGTTACTAGTAACCCATGACACTAAAAATCTTGAATAGTTCTTATCTACCACTCCATCCCATACATTCCAAAGAGCAGAACCACTTGGCAGTTTCTTAACCAGTGAGTCACCAGCTTCCTTCTTCATTTTTCTCATTGTCCAGTAAATAGTTACTGAAACACACATACACACGTTTTCCACAAACAAAATTAATTTTTTGAAACAGTTGAAACTAGAGAACATGAACTCAAGTGCCCAGGCAATCAGAAATAAATGAAATAGGAAAGTTAAGAAAAATAGGGACTGATAAAGGCTGGGCAGGTGTTTGCTGTCATGTCTGGAGGAGTTCAGGGTTGACAAATCTTGTAGATTTTCAAGAGAAGGTGGAGCCAAGATTTTTATGTAAGTTGTATGGCTTTCTAGCATAGTTCAGCCTTAATATGACAGTCAATTTTAAACTTTTGGTCTAAAAGAAGAAGAAAGATCCATGGTATTATCTTAATTGCCCTATGATTTGCAAGGCTGCTTCTTTCACCAATGAATTTTTCTCATTCCAGAAAATAGTGTAGCTTTTTAGTAAAGAATTCTTCCACAGCAGGCTTTCAGAGGTGAGAACATGGATGCAGGCCTGTCAGAAATTAGAAATAAGAGCCTTCCCTTAGTTGCAAAAGGCCTGGATAAGGTTCTGGAATTGCTACATATAAAAATACTAAGATTGTTAGTGAAGAGCCCTTTTTTTTTTAAATTTAAAATGTATTGTTTCTAAGTAAGTAGACTTTTGAAATATGAAAACATAACAAATCATTAGTTTGAAACTGTTTTCTGTGTTCAGATTTTTAAGACTTATTCCCTCATTCATTTATCTACTTTGTGTTTCACATATAGAGCTTTTGAAGAAAAACGAAAAGAACAAGAAGAAAAAGAACAACAAATCAGAGAACAAATACTTCAACAAAGAAAAGAGAAGTTTGAAGAAGTCACTGAAAAATTCCAGCGCGCTCATATTCCTCTTTCACAACGGAGGAGAGCAGGTATCTGAACTTCTAGAACAATATGAGGATAAAAATGAAAATGAAGGGCTCCTGGGTGGCTCAGTTGGTTAAGCATATGCTTTCAGCTCAGGTCATGATATCAGGGTCCTGGGCTCAAGCCCCACATTGGGCTCCCTGCTTAGTGGGGAATCTGCTTCTCCTTCTCCCTCTGTCTGCCTGTTTGTACTCTCTCTCTGTCAAATTAAAAAAAAAAAAAATCTTAAAAAAATGAAAATGTTATCATATTCAACCTGAGTAGACAATAAAATGGTAAATTAAGAAAAAGAAGTATAAATTCAAACTAAAAAGCATACCTTTTGAGCAATAAGACTTGAACCAAATGAAAAATTATAATTTGATTTAGGTTTAATTTGGAGAATATATTGTTGGCTCCATTAGTAAATTTTAAAAGTTCACAAGTGTGATTCTACTTCATACCAGCTTACAGTGTTTTGTCTTTTCTAAAACTGATGTAGTAAACAGAGAATTTAACGTTTAGGCTTGGTAAATTAGCGTCACATTCATTCTGGCATTTTATTCACATTTTGATTCAAATTCTTACCTAAGAGACTGACAAAATGAAAAGAAATTGTACAGAGTATTATAATCTAACAATGTAAGGACAGGAATCAATTAAGAATTTAAATACGATTATAGTTGAATCTTTGGTACCATATCTACATTTTTTATACCTTAATAGTAACACGGAATTAAGTATAAAATGTCAAAGCTTCACAAAGAAAAGGACAGGGGCACCTGAGTGGCTCAGTTGGTTAGTATCTGACTCTTGATTTCAGCTCAGGTCATGATCTAAGGGTCATGAGATTGAGACCCATGTCAGGCTCTGCACACTGGGCATGGAACCTACCTAAGATTCTCTTCTCTTCCTCTGCCCCTTTCCTAACCCCTCCTTACACACATGTGCTCTCTCTAAGAGAAAGGAAGGAAGGAAAGGGAAGGAAGGAAAGAAGGACAAGCAGAACCTTTATGTTCAGCAAACGAATGTTGTACTAGACTGTACTTAGCCCTGGGCTGAGATAGAAAGATAACCATTCTCTACCATTAAAGATCTCACAGCTTATTTTGGAGATGAAAATAATGTAAACAATATCAATAAATGTATTGAGAATATCTGTGGTAACAGAATGTATAAATTTCTGTGTGAACATAGAAGGAAGAACGCTAACCCTATACAGGGACATCGAGGACACCATCCCTGGAAAAATAACTTAATTTGCATCTTGAAGAATGAGCATTTTGCCAAGCAAAGAGAAAAAAAATTAAGATTCCCTAACAGGGGGCGCCTGGGTGGCTCAGTGGGTTAAAGCCTCTGCCTCCGGCTCAGGTCACAAACTCAGGGTCCTGGGATGGGTTCTCTGCTCAGCGGGGAGCCTGCTTCTCCCTCTCTCTCTCTGCCTGCCTCTCTGCCTACTTGTGATCTCTTTCTGTCAAATAAATAAACAAAATCTTTTAAAAAAATAAAATCCCCAACAGAAGGAAAAACTTTTACAAATAAATTATGTATTTTAATGCATCCTGAAGCATAGGATGGGAGAAGATGAAGAAGAATGAATGTGAGACTAGAAAACAAGCTAGAACCAATGCTCAAAGCGCTTGGCATATCATGCTAGAAATTTCACTCGTATCCAAAATATAATCCACCTAAAGTTTTTTTAAAAGCAGCCTATTACTGGGGCGCCTGGGTGGCTCAGTGGGTTAAAGCCTCTGCCTTCGGCTCAGGTCATGATCTCAGGGTCCTGGGATCGAGCCACACATCGGGCTCTCTGCTCAGCAGGGAGCCTGCTTCCCCCTCTTTCTCTGCCTGCAGCTCTGCCTACTTGTGATCTCTGTCTGTCAAATAAATAAATAAAATCTTAAAAAAAAAAAAAGCAACCTATTACTGTGTCAGTAAGAGTCCCTACTGTAATTGAAAAGCAATCTGATAACATTAAGTGAGGATGATATGAGACCGCTAGTAATACCCCTAAAAATAACAATGGCTTAAATATGATATGGGTTTATTTTTCTCTTGTATAATGTGAAGTCCTGAGGTAGGCAGTCACAGCTGGTTTGAGGACTATGCGGTGTCACTGGGAGCTCAGATGCCTTCTGTCTCTCGGCTCAACTATCCTTAGTTTGTGATTTTTATCTTCACCCTCCTGGTCACATTTTAGCTGCTGAAGCTCCAGCATCACACCAATGTTGTAGGCAGGAAGAAGGGAGAATTGTAAAGAACAAAAGGTTGTACCTCTGAGCTCCTTTTAAATTATTTTCCTAACAGTGTCCATCTGTCTACTTCTGTATAATCAACAATGCCATGTGCAGGGAAGACTGACAGAACAAAAGTGTAGAGTAATTCTGCATCGCTGCTCTGACTGTGAGTGTTCAGTCTGTTGCCAAGGAAGGAAGGGAAGATGGATAGTGGTAGGTGGGAAACTTGAGGGTCTCTACTACAATTAGATCTGTTTGTGAGAAAGATAATTACTGTGACAACATGGAGGTAGATGGAAGTGAAAACATACTGAAGTAGGTAGACTAGCACGAGACTGTTCCAGTACTTATGGCAGGAGGGGGCAAGCTGTCCTGCATATTGAGAAAAGTGGTTATAAATTCAAGAGATAGAATCCGTAGATTTCAGTTACTAATTGATGGAGAGTGGGGAAAGTCTAGATGGAGAGCATTGCCCCTAGGACTTAGCAGAGAGTTTCACATATTTTTATACTTTTTTAAGGAATTAATTATTTTGATAGATGATGATAATATTCATCAAGATTATGGATAAAGAAGGAGAATCAGATTAGAGGTGTGAACGATCATTAAGTTTTAAATGCATTGATTTTGAGCCTTCTGTCAGCAACTAGAAATATGGGTCTGTGGGGAACCTAGGGGACTCAGTTGGTTGGGCATCTGCCTTCAGCTCAGGTCATGATTCCAGGGTCCTGGAATCAAATCCCTCATTGGGCTCCTTGCTCAGCAGGGAGCCTGCTTCTCCCCCACCCTCTGCCTGCCGCTCCCCCTGCTTGTGCTCGCTCACACTCTCTTTTCTCTCTGTGTCAAGTAAATAAAGTCTTATTTAAAAAAAAAGAAAGAAAAGAAATATGGGTCTGAAATTTAAGAAAAAAATGGAATAGAGATGTATATTTAACAGTCATTAAGAGGGGCACCTGGGTGGCCCAGTTGGTTAAGCGACTGCCTTCTGCTGGAATCCTGGAATCCTGGGATCAAGTCCCGTATCAGGCTCTCTGCTTGGCAGGGAATTTGCTTCTCCCTCTGACCCTCCCCTTTCTAATGCTCTCTCCCTCTCTCTCTCTCTCTCTCTCTCATTCTCTCTCTCTTTCAAATAAATAAATAAAATATCTTAAAAAAAAAAAAAAGATTCATTAATGAGTGATATATACTTGATAAATGAAGCCATGGGGGAAAGACGCTAAACCACAGGGTATAGACCACAGATTGAGGGTAGGGCCTAACATAGAATCTTTTTTTTTTTTTTCCTAAAATAGAATCTTAACATACACTACTATTTACTGTAGATAGACAAGAGAAACTAAAAGAGGTTTGAGAAGTCCTTCTCAAGAATGCACAATGGCAAAAGCAAACAAAGAAAATAATGTATAAGAAGGCATAGGAGGGGGCGCCTGGGTGGCTCAGTGGTTTAAAGCCTCTGCTTTCGGCTCAGGTCATGATCCCAGGGTTCTGGGATCGAGCCCCGCATCGGGCTCTCTGCTCAGCGGGGAGCCTGCTTCCTCCTCTCTCTCTCTGCCTGCCTCTCTGCCTACTTGTGATCTCTGTCTGTCAAATAAATAAATAAAATCTTTAAAAAAAAAAAAAAAGAAGGCATAGGAGAAGGTAGTTTGAAGAAAGAGGATGTGGTCAGTTACTGTAAATGCCTGAGAAAATTACTTACCACTTATGGGAATTATTTGCCCCAAAGAGGGCGCCAACTACCAAAAGGTCTGGGTACAAAGAGTCAGGAGTTTTAGCAAAAACAAATGACACACTCACACAATGAAATAATATACAGTTATTAGAAGAAGTGATGGAGAAACTTTGTGGACTGGTGTGGAAAGTTTTCTAGCAGAAGGAGGTTTACTGTGAAGTTACTAAGGCTTGAGTTTCATGAGCCCTCACTGTCACAGCCCCCTACACCTCATTTCATGAGTACTTTTGCATTATTTTTTTCTTTTTTTTTTTAAAGATTTATTTATTTATTTGACAGACAGAGGTCACAAGTAGGCAGAGAGGCAGGCAGAGAGAGAGGAGGAAGCAGGCTCCCCGCTGAGCAGAGAGCCCGATGCGTGGCTCGATCCCAGGACCCTGGGATCATGACCTGAGTCAAAGGCAGAGGCTCAACCCACTGAGCCACCCAGGCGCCCCTGCATTATTTTTTCTTAACGAAGTCCCCCAAGTTGCATAAGCCGTATGCTCATATAAAACTTGTGTCTATCCCTGATTTTCAGGACATATTGTTAGTCATTAAAAAATGGTCCAGATCACAAGATATAATATTCTGCCTTCCGGTGAGAAAAGGGGGAAATTAGAATACATATTTATATTTGCATAAAGAAACAGTTATAGTATATACAAATGATCAAGAACAAGACTTCCAAATGTGTATTATGTATATTTTTTAGCTTCTAATATGGATATATTATGCAAAATACCAAGTTAATATTTTAAGAAAATTCAATGCTGTGAATGAAGAGCAGAAACAGCTATGAAGGACAACTATTACGTAATTGTCTTATTCGTTTAGTTTATTCCCAAATCCGAAGGTTACCCAAGACAGTTTGGAGGTGTCAGTGGAGAGCTCGAGAGTTCTACCCCACCTCCATGCCTTGAGTTTTCTGCGGTAGGTGACTGCAGGAAAACCTACCCTCCGCTTAAGCAGACGCCCCTGGCAGACGGCCGTGCTTCCCCTGGAGCAGCAGGGCGGGAAGAGCACTGGGCGACATAGGACAAGAAGGGTGCTCTGAGTGCAGTGCACCGCCGAAGGCTTCGGGGAAGCGGGCACTCACGGGAAGCAGGGCTGGTTAGAGGATGTGCCGCACATATGTAGACAAACGTCCACAGAATCTCTGACCCTGAACTGGGGCCCAGTCTCCTCCGTTGCAAAATGGACATTGAAATAGCGTCAGCTTCATGGGCCGTAGTGAGGATTAAATTAGTTAATACAGCATGCTTGAAAATAATGTCTGTAACAGTAAGTGCTCCGTGAACAGTAGTTGGTGTTTTTACACTTCCCATTTTCTTCTTAAAAATATTAATAAACTTTGGGGCACGTGGGTGGCTCAGTTGGTTGAATGGCCGACTCTTATTTCGGCTCAGGTCATGGCCTTAGGGTTGAGGGATGGAGCCCACCTCTGGCTCCACCGTCTGCAGGTAGTCTACTTGAGAGTCTCTCCCTCTCCCTCTCTCCTCCCTCTGCTGGTGCACTCTTATTCTCCCCCCCCCCAGCCCCAAAAAATAAATCTTTAAAAAATAAAAAAGAATATTCGTAAATTTTGTCAGAATCAAATCTAGATCAAATATAGTGGGGTTTACATGCCAGAATGAAGAGCCTGGACATTTCTCAAAGTCTTTTCCGGTTAAATATTCTCAAAATTGGCGATGTAACAGTTTCTATGTGGGGAATTAGATATCTAAATTTAAAATAGTTACACTATATTAAAAGATACTTTCTTTTTTTTTTTTTTTTAAAGATACTTTCTTTTTACAAAAGCTTTAAGGTACTATTTTATTATTGACCAATCTTATATAAGAAAGAGATAATTGAAGATGAAGTGATTCTGTACTATTTGATTTTTCTCTATTATCCCTTTAGTTTTTCAAAAACGAGTTCCTCTGTTGGAAGAAGCCCTCAAGCAAATTCAAGAATCCAATTTAAAATCAGAAGTAAACCTCCTCCCTTCCTACAGACCAACAATAAATTGGAGGTAAGTAATTTATTATTACAATGTATAATTATTAATATGTAACAATTATACAGCTTTCTGCTGAGTTTGTAGGCCTTTTCATCAGTTACTTCTCACCTTTGTTGTAGAGTTTACTATTTTATTTTCATAGATTAATTTGAGGTAGAGGAGAATATAAATTGCCCAAGAATAAGGCAAAATTCTAACTCATCTTTGGTATTACAGTGCTGCCTATATTGAATATTTTTTTATGGAAGCCATCACTAAAACCATTTTAAAATACTGATGTTCATTATTTATCTTTACTGAGAAGAAAAAATGTGTTGAATTGTAGTAATATAAGTTTAGATAAAAGGAGTAATTTATGGTAGAAATGGGTTTTTCCTCACGGAAAAATATTTTTTGGATGTCTTGAAAAAGCTAATGTCTCCTGGTTCCTCTCCAGAGTAGCTTAAATGAATCACCAAGGAGCAGTAGGATGGATCAAACCAGAGTACCCTGGACCATCTTATATTTTCCATTTATTTATTATAAATGTTTATTGAAGCTACAACATGCATAGCACTAGATCAGGCATTGTAAAGGGGATGTGGGGAGTATAACCCTATAAAATGCAATTCCTAGTATACAATCTAGGAAAGAAGCGAAAGTGCTTCAAAAAGTATAGAAGAGTACTGGGGCGCCTGGGTGGCTCAGTGGGTTAAGCCTCTGCCTTCAGCTCAGGTCATGATCTTGGGGTCCTGGAATCGAGTCTAGATCAGCTTTTCTTTTTTAATATGTCATTCCAGTCTCCTGTGAACAAATGTGAATAATGGATTGAAAGAGGACAAAACAGGAGGCTATTTCAATATATGTCATTGAAATTACGTGAGCTCAGAGCGCTAGAGAAAGAGGTGGGCTTCTGGTCACAAAACACCGCACAGTGGATGGGACACAGCCACGAGGGTGTGTACTGTGATGACAGATCTAGGACAGAGCACCGAGAACAGCCACATTTAAGAAGCAGAAGACAGAGGCCTCCAGATAGGAGCAGAAGGGTTGATGCAGGACTAGGAGAGGGTTGTATCACGGAAACTGAGGAAGGGTAGGGCTTCTTGGGGAAAAAAGCAGTTTATAGAGATCGGATGGCTTCTAGGGAGTCAGTAACACAGTTGTTATCCTGCCCCGGAACAGGTGGCACATTTAAGAGGGGTGATGGGAGAGGGGTTAATGAAGGAACTGGAAAGCCAGAACAGGTTGGAGGAGCCCCTCAAGAACTGGCCACCACAGAATCAGTATTACCCCCACAGACCTGACCTGTTGATGTGTGTACCCGCAGAAGAGGGCTGCCAGACAGACCCTCGTGTCCTCGGTGGAGGAGCCCAGCACAGTGGAAGCTACAAGACCAATGATCAAAAACGTCTTTCTCCTGTCACCCTGGCTCTTTCTAGTGCCTTCCATTGGCCAAACCGAGCCATAAACCAAAAGACAAAGGATCATTTCATCTCTGCCAAGCAGAGACAAGTGGAGAAGCATGGAAAGTGAATCTGGAAAAGAGAGGGTATCCAGTGCAGATGCAGTGTGTCCCCTCTGTTGCACAGGAAGCAGTCAGCCTGGGACTGCTGTCAGAGTAGTGTAAGGGAGGGGGTGGGGACAGAAAAGAGAGGGCCATGGGTGGAAAAGAAATGGAGAGTGAGAAAGTAAAGATAAATGTTTGTCTATGAAAGGAAAAGAGTGATAGAACAATAGCCTGAAAGGATGACATCAAATTGGTGAGTCCCAGAATTGAGGCCAGAAAGATAGAGGAGGAAACCATGTTGAGTGTCTTACATTCCTCTTTTGAGCGTGACAGTGATCAGCATGGTTGACCCTGTGAGTGAGATGCGGTTCTCCTCTCAGGACAGGTCTGCAGCTACATTATAGTACACATGTAATACGTGTAAGGGGCTCTGTTACAGAAATATTAGCAAAGCGATCAAGTATGAAATGTAAAGTTGGGAAGAAGCTTGAAGGACGAGTACCAGGTGTCTAATGAGGGGGCGTAGCTCCACCTCCAGGCCTGCAGTGTGGTAGAAGACACGGACCCCTAAGGACGTAGAGCTTGTCTGGAGTGGCAGGATTGTAGGGTATGTTGCTAGTAGGAGGAGATAATCTAGAAATGTAGATTGAGATACAATGTGAAATGTTTTTATGGCTAGCTGGGAAGTTTGAAGTTTGTTCTGTAACTGGTAGAGAAGCAGTGAAGGTTTTTAATTAAGGACTGATTTTTTTTAAACTTACTTATTTGAGAGAGAGGGAGAGAGAGCAGGAGAGGAGTGTAGGGGAGGAGCAGAGGGAGAGGGAGAAGCAAATTCCCCGCTGAGCAAGGAGTCTGACTCAGTTTCCGTCCCAGGATCCTGGGATCATGACCCGAGCCAAAGGCAGACGCTTCACTGACTGAGCCCCCCAGGATCCCCAATCAGGGACTGATAAAATCCTCTTTGTCATTGTAGAAAGATATTGGTGTGAATGTTGGAAAATGAAAGGATGGAAAGAAACTGAAGGGGACAAGAGAAGATTAATGGGATAATCTAAAGGATAGATCATTACTGCTTAAACTGGAATAGTACTATTTTATATAGCAGGAAAATGATAGGTCTGTAAAGGAATAAAAATATTGTGAGTGGGTAGAAGGAAAGGATGAGAGGGAATGATACACCTTTTCACAGCACAGAGAAGTGATATAAGAAAGAGGATTTAAGAATGTTGACCAGATAGAAGGATAAAATGTGGAACATGGAGTGATTAATGGCAGGGAAATCAGGAGGTATCCAGCCATGAATTTAAAAGGACTTACGTTAAAAGGATAGTAGTAGTGAAGTCAGAAAGAAGGATAGAAGGAAAATACATTTCATAGAAATAGATTATGGAGGGGTACCTGGGTGGCTCGGTGGGTTGAGCCTCTGCCTTCGGCTCAGGTCATGGTCCCGGGGTCCTGGGATCGAGCCCCACATCGGGCTCTCTGCTCAGCGGGGAGCCTGCTTCCCCCCCCCACCCGCCTGCCTCTCTGCCTACTTGTGATCTTCGTCTTCAAATAAATAAATAAAATCTTAAAAAAAAAAAAAGAAATAGATTATGGAAGTTAAATGATGAGTTTGGTATATGATAGGATAAAGAAAATGAAAAAAAAAAGCAAAAATGATCCAAAGAAGCTGAAATTTTGAGTCTCGATGATTGAGAGAATTTGTTGACTTTAAAAATAAAAAGAAATGAAATGGTACAAGTTTGGCAAGATAGTGCTAAATTTCCTTGCAGGTGTCTGAATTGAGGGGATACATATCCAAGTACAAATGTATAAAAACAATTGGACCTAAAATGAAGTGAGAGACCCAGACTATGTAAATACAGTTGAAAGTCATGAATTGTTTATGTTGTTGCTTCATTTTTGTATGTAGTTATGTCCCCCCAGCCCGACCGTGATATTCTAGGGAACAGTTGCTATAAATGGTCCACAAGCAGGTACTCCCTGCGGCAGACCACAGAGCAGTCAGTCCTTGCTATGCCCCTCTCCCCACACAGTCAGTCCTTGCTATGCCCCTCTCCCCACACAGGACAGCTCAGCTAGGAGCAACAAGCTACGGGCGTGGGTGTGTAGCCACCTTCACTAGACCCCATGTTCCAAACAGGAACCATGTTGATGGCTCCATGTGGATAATGTCTAGGTCCCTGGGAGAGACATGTCCAGTCGTAAGAATTCCCACACTTGGGGAAAACCAAAGTTGTAGCTTCACATTAGCTCTCTGTGGTTGATGCAGTCCTCTGGGTTACACAGAGTGTGGGTGGATAAGCAAAGAGGAGGGTCCCATAACCCTCACAAATTTCAGCATAATAATTAAAAGTGATTCTTCAGATCAAGTGCACCTTGTAAAAACTCACCAAAATGCATAGTAGTTTTGTTAAGTTAGATGAAATTTCAGAACTTTACTGGATTTCAGTACATTAGCGCTTTTTAAAATTTATTTATTTATTTATTTGAGAGAGAGAGAGAGAGAGAGAGAGAGAGAGAGAGAAAGCAAGCTGTGGGACGGGCAGAGGAAGAGGGAGAGAGAAGCAGACTCCCACCTGAGCAGGAAGACCGATGCAGGGTTCGATCCCAGGACTCAGAGATCACGACATGAGCCGAAGGCAGGTGCTTCACCCACTGAGCCACCCAGGTGCCCCAATACGTTTGCTTTGACACCAAAACTTCACAGATTAAAACTGCAGTTCAGTCAGTATCTTCTTAACAGAATTACCTGGAGTAAAGAGATAAAATAATTATGTCTCTTTTGACCTTTTGGAAGGTTTTTTTTTTTTTTTTTTTTAGTTTTACAAGCATATTTAATAGATCATTTATAAAGCAAGGGTCCAGTTCAATGTTTGGCTGCTCTCTGGATTTCAGGAGCAAAGCTCCAGGTCTTCATAAGATGGTGTCCATGTGGATGAGCTTCCCCTAAGGGCACGGGGACCAACGGATTGAGTTCCTAATCTTGATGATGCTTGAGATTTGTCCTGCCGTGTTAGGTCAAGCAAATCACATTAATTTTCTTTGGAACTTAGTCCCCCAGCACTTAGTATGACTGCACAATATTTACCAGATGCTTAACGAGGTGCTCTGTTTGGGAAAAAACACCACTTATTCAAAAACACTATTGATGTGCAACACCAGATTATACTGTGTAGCTGTCAAGTCCCTTCGGGTTTGTTTTGTTTTTTGTTTTGTTTTGTTTTTCAATTGTGGGTCATTTTCTGATTCTCATTTTTGGGATTCTTAAATCTTAACAAGCATCACCAATAATAAATACCAAGAGTCCATTTAAACTTTTTTTTAAGTTGCAGCAAATATCTGTTATGATAAAATAAAAGTAACAATCAGTGATGGAGCTCTGAGCGCCCAAAAGGAACCCGCGCCCTCCGTCAGTCCGCTTTGTCTTTCGGAGGATCTGCAGCATTTTTTCCCACACCCTCAATAACCAAGATAAATAAGTTAGAATGTGGCCGTTTTGTCACGCTTATGAGACTACAGTTCTCAATTTGGGATTAAAGGTTTTGGCTGCTATAAAAATGTCGTTTTAAAATACATTTTGAATTGTAAGAACAAAAGTAATTTTTTGTATTTTTTTTTCATTTAATTGGAATAATTTTCAAGTTCTACATATAGGGTAGTTATAAATTTAAAGCATTAGGCATTTATTGGTGAATAATGTATATATCCCCATTCAAAGAAATATAAGTGAATGACATTGAAATAAAGTCTTGGAGTTTACTATAAAAAAGAAATTCCAGGGATGCCTGGGTGGCTCAGTTCATTAAGCAGCTGCCTTCTGCTCAGGTCGTGATCCCAGGCATCATCGACCCTTGGGATCGAGTCCCACATCCGGCTCCTGACTTAGCAGAAGCCTGTTTCTCTCTCCCACTGTGCCTGCTGCGCTCCCTGCCGGTACTCTCCCTCTCTGCTAAATGAATAAGTAAAATCTTGAAAGAGAGAGAGAGAGAGAGAGAGAGAAAGAAAGAAAGAAATTCCAGCATATAAAGGACGTGCAAAGAAAGGAGCTCAAGAAAGAACCTGAGAAGGAACAACTAGAAAAGTAGGAAAATAACCAGGAAAGCATGGGGACATGCAAACCAAGGGGATTAAAGTCAAAAGACAGCAGCGATGCAGATGTGTCTGTTTTAAGTTAATCTCCAGCAAAAGCAGTACCTGGGGGCCTGGGAAGAAGCCGGGCAGCAGTGGCTGAGGAAGCTGGGGGGTGAAGGCCGCTTAGCTCTAGAGTACTCCGTGGGGAAGGCAAGATGACAGACATTGAGAGGGGGAGTTCAGATTATTAAAAATTCCAAATCACTTCGCATTGTTGTGTACGGGTTTTCCTTGCTCACAGGCTTCTTTTTCTGCATATCAGTTCTCAGCCTTCGTGTTGTCAGATATTTTCTTTTTTTTTTTTTTAAGATTTATTTGACAGACAGAGATCACAAGTAGGCAGAGAGAGAGGAGGAAGCAGATTCCCCACTGAGCAGGGAGCCCAGTGTGAGTCTCAATCCCAGAACCCTGAGATCATAACCTGAGCCTAAGTCAGTGGCTCAACCCACTGAGCCACCCAGGTGCCCCCAGATATTTTCAATTAAAAAAAAAGGCTCTGTAGTGCTAGGAATGAAGGTATAGACATTTTTCGCTCGACACTACATTTCCTTAAAGTCTTAGAAGAGATGAAGTGTGAGAACAACTCTGATTTCCCTGTAGCACCCAAATGTATAGTTAGCATTATCCAAATCTATGCTGGGGCCACTGAGTAACATACATCGTTTTGTTTTCCGAGAGATGATCTCCATTCTAAATTAGAGTACATAGCTTTCACTTATCATTGTAATGTGCTATTTTGACTATGACAGTCTACACCTATCTGTATGTATACACACGCACATGAATGTTACATATTTGGAAAACAACAAATGTATAGAATTTACAGAGAGAACACTATGACTAACTTATTAAAACATTGAATTTCTCTCCACAGATAACTAACAGTGTTCAATAACATGTATGAAAATGCTTTGTAAATTATAAAATGCTATACAAATATGAAATATTAGAATATTAAGGATCAGGTGTTAGGTTAATAGAAATACATTTTTTATTTATTGAAAATATGATTAAGGTACAATATTGATAAGCTATTGTCACATTAAAAATCCACTATATGTGGAATATAAACCTAAAATGTGTTAAGGAGTAAAGTAATGGCAGGAAACGGGGAGCATCCAAAGTAGTTGATGCTGTCAGTACTCATACACAGTTGTTCCAATGTGGAAAATACTAGTGGCAGGTAAACATAATTTAAGATATCAGCAATACGATCATCTAAAGGCAAAAAATTGTATGAAAAACTAGAAGGCATTTAATGCTAAAGCCTCAAGAGCAATCAGAGAATAGATCCCTACGAAGACGGAACCTGCCTCAGGAAATAATGAGATGTAAGAATGTTAATAAAGAACTAACATTAAAATCAGCTTCCGTCACAGCCAAATCCTTATCACGTTTGTGTAATGTACTTCACCCTTCTGACAGATGCAAGGGAGAAGAAGCTGTATTTTCCCCCATATTAAGTTTTTATACTTTAAAATGCTGTTGTCAGATATCTATCTCCAATATCCATGTATGTGCGGCGACACAGCTGATCTGAGCCACAGGCAACCCTGAGAGATCTGGCCAGAGCTGAGCAGTGATCTATTTGACCTCTGCTTTTCCTTTGTACCAGGAATTTAAACCAGATTTTCTAGCCCACATTCATTACCTATATGACCACCAGACTTCTAAAAGATGAAAATACTCTTGAGAGGAGTCAGAAGAAGGGAGCGTGAGTAAGCTGCACACACGGCTCAGCACATGTGAGAGGACACTGGTTGGTCAGACGAACACATGCCTGGACCCTCAGGACAAAAATGTACTAGGAATCAAAAGCCTAGAGGCAACCTAAAAAGCGTCAACAACAAAAAGAACATCTTAACAAGGCTTTCTCTCTGCCTGCCTGTCCATATGCTTTCCGACCTGTGCAGATCCATTCCTGCCTGTCCGGCTGTCTCCGCACCTTCTCCCTACTTAGCTGATCAGCTCTCCCCTCCACGGGCCCTGTTGCTATCTCACCATTCCCAGATTCTTCCTAGCTGTCCGACTGTCTCTGCCCCTCACCAGCCCCAAACCTTGCCTGTCCGTCCATCTGTCCCCTCTGCTCTCCCAAAGACCTCTTTACCGGCCTCGGTACTGTCCTACCCAGTCAAATATCTTCCTCACCCTCCAGCGCCAGGGACCCCTAGCTTCCCCCGCAGTTTGCCACATCTACCAGCCCCGGTTCCTTCCGGCCCACATGACCATCTACCCCACCCACCCCGAAGTTCCACAATCACCCCTCATCCTGACTCACAGAGCAAGTTATTTTACACAACTTTCAGACCCAAACATTTCCCTCCACAACGTTCTCCTCCAGCCACTCTAATGCCTGCCCTCATTCGTCGTTCCCTTCCAGCTCGACTGGTTGTTTCCCTAACCCCTTTGGAAGCTCTCCCCGTTCTGAAGCCTTCCTGTTTATCCGCTCATCCCCCTCCTCAGCCAGTCCCCACTCTTTCTGATCTCGGCCCGTTGCCTGAACACCCCGCCACCTTGGATCCTCTTTGGTCCGTCGAGCGGTCTGTTCCGCAAACCCCCCCAGTGTCAGATCTGCCGCAGGCCTTTGTAGACCATCGTCTTGCCTCAGTTCACTGCCACCCACCTCCCTGCCGCTCCCCAGGCTCTTCCTTGTCTTCATCACCTTCTGCTTCCACACCTTCTTTGTCCCCTGTGCAGTCCTCTTCCTCCATCCTTTCCTCTTCTTTACCCTCCTCTCCCGCCTCTCCATCCTTACCTCTTCCATCTGACTATCTGTTTTCTCCTCTGCGTTCAGCTCCCTCTCTAGTCCATCCCATGTCTTCCTCCTTTCCCCCCACGCTTTACACTCCCTCTCTTCCTACTTCCCCATCTTTTATTCCTGGTCATCCCCTCAACCTTCCTCACTGGGGGAAGAAAGTAGAGAAGAGAAGAGAAGCAAGTGGAGTAGAGAAGAAAGAAATAGAGAAGAAAAAGTTGAGAGACATCAACTTTAAAGGTAAATAAATTGGGTTTATTAGATATTTTGTAGATCTAGCAATATTTTGTTTGGGAAAGGTGACTGAAGGGGAAGGAGTCTGTGAGAATAGGAAAACCTGAAAGGCAGAGAGAGAAACACACTCTCAGCGTTCAGGAACTTGTGTTAAATACCTTTTTGCTCTCCATGACCTCCCTGCGGTCACAAAAAAAGGCTGGAATCCAGTAACCATTCACCTTGACTATTCCAGTTTGTCCAAATAAAGATATATATGTGTATTGGAGATAGGTATATGTTACATGTGGCTATGTATCCTACAAACATTTTTATCCTCATTAAAACAGGAGTCATCGAAGTGAGCTGGGGCTGAGTGCTCTTGGGAATCCCGCTGCCTGCCGGTGCAGTGCATCAGGAGTCAGCTGTTTGATACCCTTCCTTCCCACCCCCAAAACAGTGCTGCTCTGCTCTTTGCTTCTCACTCTGTACCTGTGCTGAAGTAGAACTTGCTAGACCTTTCCAGAAGATGCAGAATTCTAATAGAAGGTGGCGTCGCCCACTGATGTTCTGTGGGTGGCACTTCAGCACACTACAGGCAGAGCCTGCGCTAAAGATACACCTTGTGTGGCCTGAAAACCAGCTTGTCTTTGTGACACAGCTGAAAACAAGCGTGATTATCCTCCTCCATCAAGGAAGAGCCAGGCTTCCGAACCTAGTAAAGTAGGATGAAAATTCCTGTCTGCCGCAAACAGACAGTTTTCATATTTTCTATCTGCTTGACTCTTCAACCAACTTTATTTAGGTTACAGGAATACCTACCAGCGATAACATCAGCTCAGAACTAAGGGTAGTGCCGCACATTTTTATCCAGATAGGAATGCTCTTGCAGAACTAAGGAACGACTCTCCGTATCTACAGGAGTTCATTCTACATCTGGCCCAAACAATAAGAGAAACAGGACTTTGTAATCGAAGCCATGAATAATTGGGTATTCTTACATGAAGGTGGGGTGCTTTATTGGCACTATAACCCCACAACCATTTTTATTCTACTAGTGACTGCCTTAAATTCCCTTTCCAATATCCTTAGATGTGATTATCTGAACACAGACCCCCACACACACCCATACAACATAAATGTGTCATTTGTATAGATAGGGAGAGGTTAACTTTATTTAAATGTACTAAATATTTTTTATGTATGGTTCACAGAGCTATAGATAATGCCTTGCCTTCATCATTGTCAAAAAATGATCACAAGCATCAGAAACATCTCTTATCCAAAATCAATTGTGGTAAAGAATTGAAGGAAAACAACAGGGCAAACTTGGCTACTAACAAAGAGGCGTTCCAGCTTAAACTGGAAGAAACTCAGAAACTCCTAGAAGATCAGCATCTAAGCAGTTTGCAAGTATGAAACTATATGTTAATAATAATTTAGTATCTAGTAATAAATCTGTCCCATCTCTGCAGTGATTTACACTAAAGAAAAGTATGCCATTAACCAAGGATAGGATGTGGATGAGTCAGCACAAATTCATCATAGATACTACAGAAATAATTGTTTAGATTTCTCTACCTTTTTGATCCTTTCTCACTCTGCTTTCTCTATTCTTTTTCCATCTCTTATATTTGGAAAAATACGCTCTATGAATGTTATTTTCTGATGAAACATGAAAGCTATTTAAAACTACAATGTAATATAAGTATCATTATTGGAGACTGGATTATAAAAAGCATCCTGAAAATTATAATACTTGTGGACATTAGGTTCTTAATGAAAATATATCACCATTAGCTAGAAATGGCCTTTCTGTTCTATCTCTGTTCATGCCTTCACTTAGGTTTTTTTCCCACAAAATCTGGATTTCACCTGATTTTCCTGAAATGTTCATGTACTTTATTTTTCATGAGTAATTACACACATTTATGAGATTCTTAGTAGGCTGATATCAAGATTAAACTCATAACCTTGGCCTGATTGATCCAGTAACTAAATAATAATGACAAGGCTTTTAAAAAAAAAAGGAAAGCAAGGAGGCTGCTTCTGGCTACGATGAAATGCCTTCCTGTCATAAACAATGATAATTCTGAATAAAACATATGAAACAGCTGTTTTTAGACATTAGGCAATAGACAATATAGGACGGGATCTTGAAAAAAGGAAAACCAGTGAGATAAGCCCTATAATCTCATAGGCTTTTTACCTGGACATATCCTTTGGCCAAGCCTCAGAAAAAAATCCACACCCCCTGCAGAGGCACATGAACATTAAATTAAGCTACGCAGCACAGGGAGTGTGGTCGGCCAGTGGTATGGTGCAGGGACAGACACAGCCACACTTGGGGTGAACAGAGCGTGGTGTGTGGGCCTGTCAAGTCCCTGTGTTGCACACCTGAAACTCAGGGAACATTGTGTGTCAGCCGATCTCAAGTCTAAAAAATTGAAAAATTTGAAAATTTATCTAGAGGGGAAAAGAAAGATCCATAGAACGTGAGTAAACAAAGATAAGACAGACCACATTAAGGTTGGGCCAGAATACAGTGAAGTATTTTTGAAGTTCTGAGATCTGAAAACTCCCAGCCTAAAATTCTATATCCAGCTGGCAATATCCTTCTGGAACGAAGGCAAAATGGGCATCTTCCAACAAACAGAGCCGGCCAGCCCGCACTCCCCACCACTCGCCCAGCATCCGCACTATATGAAATGTCCCTGGAGGTTTTTCAGGCAGAAGGAAAATGGTATCAGATGAAAACTCAGATCTGTCGTGATAGCGGGTTAGTGGTGGTTAGTGGTGGATAGGTGTGGACTTCCGGGAGATGGTTCTGGATTGTTTGATAAGGTGTGTATGGGTGACTGATTTGTCAAAATCCATCAAACTATACATTTAAAATGGGTGTATTTGGCAGATAAGTCTACCTCAAGGGCGTTGATTTTAAAACTGAAACAAAGACAAACTAAAAGTGTAAACCAGTACAGTTCGCATATCAGTAACTTACAAGCAAACGTTGAAGCTGATAATGTTTCATTTCTTAGTGATGAGACAAAATCTGGGGGGAAAAGTATAGTGAAATCAGAAGTTGCTAAACTTCTTCTCAGGAGCTTTGGGGTATGAGGCCATCACAGACCTGTAACAACAAAAATCTTAGAGCCATGAATATCACACATACATCTAGAAAGACCCTCAGACCCAGAGTTCTACATCTCATTAGATTCATCTCAAAGGAAGCTCTCGAGGGTTTGCTTGTGACTGTCTGTCAAAGCAGCTCAGCCTCAGAAACAGGTGTGCACGGAGTTCTCTACTTTGTGCCGATGAGGCTGAGTGCCCGTCACTTTCAAAAGACACCAAAGCACCGAGGATGTCTAAGCAGGTGGTGGATGCCAATAATGTCAAACTCTCGTTTCAAAACTTATTTCGTGTTAATATGTCAATAAGCATTAACTACAGAGACTAAAATGTTTTATTCTGGAATTGATTTACTGGGCTTCTTCATTTATTTAATGGGCTAGAAAAATAAGATATTTTGTTCAATATCAGAATATTTAATTTTTCTAAAATTTGTAAAAAAAAAGGGGGGGGGACAGTCATTTCCTTTCTTTTGAGTCCATTTAACTTTTTGACAAGATTTACAATATGACATCCTCTTGAATATATTTATTTATATGTGATACTAATTAATGCATTCTAGGTATATGTGAGAAATTAGAAATATCTTTAAACACATACCATACTTTGAAGTGATGATGAAATTTTATTAAAGACTGATAAGTTCCATGAAATTTCATTGAATTAGTGATGAGAATGTCTATGAAATTCATAGAAATTATTACCGTTCTAAGTCTCAAGGACTCTTGAAAATCAATAATCGTCAATTCTACATCCTAATTAGAATTGCCTGGAGTACTTAAAAATACAAATACATGGATCCCATCCAGGTAGTAAATCATTAGGACCCAGCGTAGTTATTTCTACAAAGCTCTTCCTGTGATTGTAACCTGCAGTCAGAGTCTAGAACCCCACAGTGCAGGCCGGGAGAGTCCCTGCTCTCAGAAGATGCGTCCCTACCGGTGGGAACCTCACACTGGGGTCACAGAGTTTTCAGAAGCCTCATGCAAGTCCACTGAAGCTTTCAGGGGAAAAAAATACCCTTTGTAAATAACTATTTTTCACATGGTGTTATAAAACCTTCAACAAATTCAGTACTCCCAATGGACTAGGAATAGTAAAATTATTTTCTAAGCCATAAACATGGTTAGAATAAAGAGGTAGTTGCTTTAGGCACAGAAACTAGAGCAAACATAATTTATCCCAAGTCTTCGTTGGCTCCCTCTTTTTCCCTCTGAGGACTACGCCAGGAATACAGATCATTTAGACACTTAGGCTGTTGATAGTCATAATACTTTATTGTTTTATGCCAAGGGCAGTAGGGCTCAGTACAGTGGTGTGTCAACTCATTAATTTTGGTTGTTTAAAAAGTTTAAGCTATAGAACAATGTTCTTTTTTTTTTCTTCTTTCAGATATTTTGTGATGAAGTTAATCAAATACCAAATTCTGAAACCCTCTCGAGTATAGACAGTCTTGAGGCTGGGGAACATGAAGAAATATACTTAACACTTAAGGAGGAGCTCTGCACATGGAGCCAGAACTCCGTTTCTCTCCAACCGGTAAATGTGCGGTCAACTGATCTGAGCGGCGGCGATGAACACGAACTGTCATTCCCCAAAACTCAGCGTGTAAACCAGTGGCTCATAAACGTAAATGACCCAAAGACTGAGACGGTCACACCTGTCTCAGATATTTTAAGTAAAGCCAATGTCCTGCCTCCTTGTGAATGTCTGAACGGCGAGGAACCAAATCCGCCCGCGGAGAGAGTGACCGAGAGTGCTGAGCGTTGGGTAGCCTCCGTGTCCGGCGCCCCCGTATTCGGAAGGGACGGAAAATGCACTGTGAGAGCAGCCGACTCCTGTGCCGGCACCTTCAAAAGGGAGAGACCCTTTGTTCCCGAGAGCCCGACATTTAAATTCAGCAGAGTCGCGCCCGGGACCGCTGCGGATGGTCCAACGCGGGAGCCCGCGACGTCTGCGGACCGCGGCGGCGCTTCGTGTGTGCCCGTGGCGACCCGCACAGCTCTGCCCCGCAGCGGGCCGGCGGCGAGGCCCTCGCCAGAGAGCAGCCTGCGGAGACCGGTCGGCCCGGCGCCGTGTCCGGACACGCTGGGCCGCTCGACCGAGGCCAAAGATGACAAGTTAGAGGACGCCCGCCGTAGTAAGGAAGACCCGCCCTTGTTTTCGGGCTTCCGCGTTGCCTGTATCCCTCCCGGCTCTGCGTCGGACGGCGGGGAACGCGCAAGAGCCCGAACACCAGCCTCGGGGTGTTCCGTCGCCGCTAAGGGTGACTCGGCCGGGCCGCACCGGACGGTGAAGCGCAGCGCGCACGAGAGCGGCGGGAGCTTCCCGAAGAGCATTTTAAAAAAAGAACCCGAGTGCGGGCGCGGCCGTTTGAAGGCGCTGGTGGCAAAGCACAGCTGCAAGTGCGGAGGTCCGGGAGCGGCTCCCCGAGACGGCGCTGAACTAGCGAAAGAGAAGGCTACGGAAGCCGCAAAGACGGGGAAAAAACTGAGGTGGTTCGACGAACCTGGAGATCCCGCGGGCCGGGCGCTGAAGAGCAGGACCGGGCCGTGTCCACAGCGGGGTCCGCCTTTCCGCCCTCAGCCGCGCGGGGGAGCTGCGGACCGGGGGGCGCGCGCCCTGAGCGCCGCGGGGGCAGCGCGGCCGCAGGAGGACGGCGTCTCGGAGACGGCCGCCGCCCCCGGAGCATCTGCCGCGGCCGCGGGGCCTCTCACCTGTTTCGTGCCTTCCGGCAGCGACGCGGCCGAACAAGCCCGGCCGACCTCAGGAACGGGGGGACGGCCACCCCCGCGGCCCCGGGGGGGCTCTAAAGCTGAGACGGCGAGGCCGCGCGGTGCCGGGGCCCGCAGGAGAACGAGATCGGCCCCTGCGCAGGGCGCGCTGTCGTGCGCGCTTGGAAGGGACGCCGCGCCCCGGCCGCGATCCGCGGGCAGAGCCCGCGGGCCCTGGGCAGCTCAGGGCGCACCGCCTGTGCCTCCGCCCCTCAGCACGAGCTGCAGGAGCCCGGGGGCGTTTGGCCGCCCTGCAGCGCCGCATGGAGGCCCGCAGCCCACGGTGACGGAGCCAGGCTGCCTCCGCGCCAGCCCCGTGCTTCCCCCGGAGCGCGGCGGGCTCGGCGCGTGGGGTCGGGAAGGTGGCGGGCGGACCGCACACGTGCCTTCGGGGCCCGGGCCTGCGATGCCTTCTCCACCGCGTTGTTCGCGGCGCCGGAGCCGCGCCGAAGCAGCCGGCTCGGGCGGTACCGGGGCTCATCCTGCCCGCAGGGACGGCCGCCGCCCGCCGCTCCTCAGGGCGGTCCGGGCGGAGTCCGTTCCCCGACGGAAGGCGCGGAGTGACGCGCGCGGCCACAGGGAACCGGATGCTGGTAAGCGCGCGTGTTCGTACCGAGCGCGCAGCCTTGGAAGTTCTGCGGGGCTTTCCGCGTGCAGCTGCGGCGCTGTGCTCCCCGCGGACCCCACACGGAACGGGGACCCGGCCGCGCAGAAACATGCCTCTGCACCGTCTGTCCTTGTCTCTGTCGGTGCCTTTCCTTTTCCTGTAAACACGTGGTCAGCTGCCTAGTTACACGCTAGTGAGACGTGCGCCCAGCCCTCCTGCTCCTGCCCGAGCCCTGGCCGCGCTCCGCTCAGCCCTTGCGCGCGCGGGTTTGCCTGCGCACAGGTGATGAGCTCCCTGTCCGCGCCGGTACCCTTAGTCGCTGGCTGGCTGACTCCTCCCCAAGCCCTTGTCCTCTGGGGAGTGAACTAGATGCCCCTGAGTTTTCCTGCCAGGAGGAATCACCTGCCTCTTGAAAAAGATAGGACTTGGGGAAAAAAAACCAGAAAAGCAATTCTTTTCCCAAAGCTATGAGTAAATAGGTGATGTAAAGAAGGAGTTAGTTTAAAATTTAATATTCAGAGTCTTCTTTAATTAGACAGATTTTAAGGACGGGGGCTTTCCTTGTCATTCGTCGCTGTCTGCCCAGGTCCTGGCAGTTGGTAGTCACCCACACTTTTCTTAAATTGAGGGCACGGAAGTCATAATAGCAGGTGGGAAGCTAAATGCAAAGACTCTAAAAATTTACAGTACTTGTCTGCAAAAATAGTTTTTGTTCATTTTTTTAAAAGATTTTATTTATTTGACAAAGACACACAGAGAGAGGGAACACAAGCAGGGAGAGTGGGAGAGGGAGAAAGCAAGCTTCCCGCCGAGCGGGGAGCCCGACGCAGGACTCTACCCCTGGACCCTGGGATCATGACCTGAGCCGAAGGCAGACACTAAATGACTGAGCCACCCAGGCGCCCCCCCCTTTTTTTTTCCGTTTTTCATCACAAGTGCCCTCCTTCTCCCCATCACCTGTTTCACCCATACCCCACCCACCTCCCCTCTGAGGACCCTCAGTTGTATTCTTTATAGTTAAGAATCTGTTTCTTGGCAAAAACCGAGATTTTTAAAAATTATTTTTCTCACTAACGATTTCATTATCTTTTAACCTAGGATTTTACAATGTAACTTTAGTTTTCACACTACATCCAAAAAAAAAAAAAGAAACCATATAGATTGAGTAAAAACCCTTGTGTACCTGTATGTATGTCTATATATACCCCACGTCCCACCAGTTTGTTCTCTAGAGTTGAAGAGTCTGTTTTTGGTTTGTCACCTTTTTTTGTTTGCTGTGTTTCTTAAATTCTACATACAAGTGAGATCATATGGTATTTGTCTTCCTCTGACTGACTATTTTGTTTAGCATTAAACTCTCCAGATCCACCCCTGTGGTTGCAAATGGCAAGATGTCATGCTTTATGTGGCAGAGTAATACTCCTCTGTGTGTGTGTGTGTGACGTCCCCTTTATCCCGTCATCTATCAGTGGACACTTGGACTGCTTCCATAATTTATTGGATCACATGGTAGCTCTGTTTTTAATTTTTGAGGCATCTCCACACCGTTTTCCACTGGGGCTGCAGCAGATCGCACTCCCCCCAGCGGTGCACTTGGGCGCCTTTTTCTCCACATCCTCGCTGGCACTTGTCCCTTGTGTTTAGTTTAGTCATTCCGTCAGGCGTGAGGTGGGACCTCCTTGTGGTTTTGATTGGCGTCTCCCTGACGATGAGTGACGACGAGCGTCTTTTCATGTGTCTGTGGCCATCTGGATGTCTTCTCTGGAGAAATGTCTCTTCATGGCTCCTGCCCATTTTTAATTGGGTTATTTGTTTTTTGGGTGTTGAGTTGTATCAGTTCTTTATATATTTCGGATACTGACCCTTTCTTGGAAATGTCATTTGCTGATATCTTCTCCCATTCAGTTGTTGTCTTTTAGTTTTATTGATTGTTTTCCTTTGCTCTGCTGAACCTTTCTATTTTAATGTTGTCCCAATAGTGTATTTTTGCTCTTGTTTCCCTCACCTCAGGAGACATACCTAGAAAAATGTTGCCGCAGCCAATATTAGAGAAAGTAGTGCCTGTGCTCTCTTCTAGGATTTTTGTGGTTTCGGGTTTCTTATTTAGGTCCTTAGTCCGTATCAAGTTTATTTTTGTGTGCAGTGTGAGAAGCTGGTCCAGTTTCATTGTTTTGCATGTGGCTGTCCAGTGTTCCCAGCACCATTTGTTGATGAGACTTTTTTTCTATTGCATATTCTTGTCTATTTTGTTCAAGATTCATTGACCGCATAGTTGTGGGTTTACTTCTGGATTTTCTGTTCTGTTCCAGTGAGCTGGTTTTGTGCCCGTACCTCACTGTTTTGATTACTGTGGCTTCCTAGTATATCTTGAAATCTGGGATTGTGATACCTCGAGCTTTACTTTTCTTTTTCAAGATTGCTTTGGCTCTTGGGGGTCTTTTGTGGTTCCCTGCACATTTTGGAATTTTTCTAGCTCTGTGAAAAATGGTATTCTTATTTTGATACCAATTGCATTAAATCTGTAGATTGCTTTAGGGAGTGTGGACATTGTAGTAACATTTGTTCTTCCAGCCCATGAACACGGAATATCTTTCCATTCATTCTGTCATCTTCAGTTTCTTCTATCAGTGTTTTATAGTTTTCAGAGTACAGGGCTTTCACCTCCTTTATTAAGTTTATTCCTAGATATTTTATTCCTTTCGGTGCAGTTGTAAGTATGTTTTCTTCATCTCTCTGCTACTTCATTATCAGTACATAGAAACGTAACAGATTTCTGTCTGTTGATTTTGTATCCTGCAACCTCGGTGAATTCATTTCTCCGTTCTAGCAGTTTTCTGGGGGAGTCTTTAGAGTTTTCTCTATGTAGTATTATGTCATCTGCAAATACTGGAAATTTTACTCATTTCTTACTGATTTGGATGCCCTTTGTTTCTTTTTGTTGTCTAATTGCTGCAGCAAGGACTTCCAGTACCGTGTTGAATGAAAGTGGCAAAAGCAGACACCCTTGTCTTATTTCCGACCCCAGGGGAAAACCTCTTGTTTTTCCCCACTGAGTAGGACGTTAGCTGTGGGTTTTTCATATCAGGCCTTTATTATGTTGAGGTTCAGTCCCTCTAAACCTACTTTGCTGAGGGTTTTTAATCTTGAATGGATCTTGTACTTTGTCGAATGTTCTTTTTCTGCATCTATTGAAACAGGTATATGGGTCTTACCCTTTATTAAGGTGGTATAGCACAGTGATTGATTTGTAAATATTGAACCACCTTGCAGCCTAGGAATAAATCCCACTCCATCTCAGTGAATGATTTTTTTTAATGTATTGTTGGATTCAGTTTGCTTACGTTTTGGAAAGAAAAAAGATAACTGTCTTGGCAATGTTTATTAAAAAAGAGAGAGAGAGAGAGAATCCACACAAAACTAAACCCCCAAAAAAGGGTTTGCCGTAGCTTTTAAAATTTTAATATAATTTTAGGCAATAATGAACAGATCTTTGGAAGTACTGCTATAGTCTACATTATTTCTTATATTGTCTGTGTATTTCAGTGGTTATTTAAACAAACTGGGGTGACACAGAGCTCTGGAAACTGGGGTCACGTCCAATGAAGGAGCACAAGCCTGAGAGATGTGATAGCTGTGTACAAATATTTGAAGGTTTACTGTATGAAAGAAAGAGAAAACAGAACTACACGAAGGGTAAAACTCGCAAGGATGTTTTCAGCTCAGTGTACAGGAGGGTTTGCGCTAAGACCACCAACCATGTGAGAGACTGGGCCTCCCCATCGCTGAGCTGTTTGAGCAGCAGCTGAATGTCTGTGGGTGAGCAAGGTGGATCTCCAGGGAAAGGGGGACCTGTCGACTTCCAGGGTTTCTTCCAAAGCTATCATTCTCGGAACATCTCCAGAATTTGTCCTGATGTTTATAATTAAGAATACTGTACATTTTAAATATGTAATAATTAATGATTAATAGCTTTACTTTGAGTTTTGGTAGAAAAACTATTATGTGTAGAATTTTCACATGAGAAATTTGGCCAAAGATGCCAGTGTAAACTATATATTTTGCAAATATACCAAAGTTCTCAGCTACTATATTAATTATTAGATAGTATTTAACTGCATGTATATGAATGGAACAATACACAGTTTTAAGCATATACTGTATGTGTTCCCGGAATCAGTAATTTACAATCCACAAAGCTGAAATCTACACAAAGAACAATAAAGCTCAAAAACAAACAATTATGCTACAAATCAAGAAAGTACAAAAGTGTTGGCAGGTCTTGACTCCAGAAGATTTACAAACAGGCTGAGGGAAGAGACAAATTCTTGACACAGCAGTCATGTGGCCAAGAAGATGTTCACTTAAAGTATTTTTAAAGCTCTTCAGAAATGGAAAGATAGGGACTTTCCAAGATCTTCTTACGCATAGAAAACAGTGTGGAGACTCTTTTGATGCCCAGACGATCTCGCTAGAAACTGTAATATTTCACATACATAGCCTAGCGTAGTTAGCATCTAGCTTACCGACATGGGTGGGAATAAAATAATGCATTCCTTCTTGAGCTGTAGGTTGTGTCTCATTAGTGGATTATGAAATCAACTTCATGAGTGGTGATCAGAATTTTTTAAATAAAATACAATTTTAGTATCAGAATGTTCTAAGATAGAAACTACCAGAGGGCATCATATATTGTAAAGGTGTATGTGTTCCACAGAACTGTGCATCCATCCTGGATCACAATGCAAAATGGATTTCTTTCTGTGAGACACAGTCAGATCCGAAGGAAAGTTACTAGCAGAGAGGGAAAGAGCTAGAATTTCAGAGTTCAAGATCAGCCGCTTGGAGGTAAATTCCAGCTTTGCCCTTTACCGACTCTGTGACCTCAGGAAAGTTACTCTTCCTTCCTCGTGCCTAATTTCTTTATCTGTAAAAATAGTGATGATAATAGTGCCTACAACTTTTAAAACAATGCCTGGGCAGTTACAAATGTTGAACTGATCTTAGCTGGAATTATGCTATTATTTCTTACTCTCAAAGGCAGGTGTTCAGTTACTAGGCAACTTCCAAGAAAGTTGCAGCTGTGTTTTTATATGGATGTACAGCTGTGGTTTTATATGGATTCTTACAGTGTATGTATATGTATGTATAAGTATACGTATTATACATACGGATATGTATACTTACGGTATCTGCATTTAACTATATGTGTATAGTCAGATGTAGAACGTATACCACTATTAGTAAAAATTTTGAGCACACACATACATGCTATATGCATGTATTACTGTACTAATACATAACCTTAATCAGAAATAGAAATATTTAAAGAATGAGATAAAAATGAAATACAAACTTTTAAAATAATAAGTTTGTATTTTATAATAATACATTTTTTTACATTTTTAAATAATTTTTAAAGTAATTTTATGTATTCTCTAAAATGCTTTTTCTCTAATGTATTATTAATAATGTTCCGAATGTTTAGTTTCAAATATCTTACCAATTATGATGACTTCATTTCGTATACCATTATTAGCTAATATCTCAAAGTACAACATGCATTTAGGTTAAGTTTATTTTTATAATTTAATAATTTTCCATTTGTGACTAACTTTGTTAGAGATATAATTATACTATCATTGTCGTTATGCGGCAAAGAGTTTCTGAGGAGAATAAGAGAGAAATCAGCTCTTTGTCTTATTCACTGTGTTGTGTTATTTTATCTTTGATCTCTGGTTTTACAAGAATAAGGTTTTTGCACAAAATTACTTGTTTTTATTGTGAGATAATTGACATGACATTGTGTGTAAGTTTAAGGTGTACTATGTATTGATGTGATACATTTATGTATCACGATATGATTACTGCCGTAGCTAGCTAACACCTCGGTCGGTCACAAAGTTGTCGTTTCCCTGTTGTGATGAGGACATGTAAGGGCTGGTCTCTCAGCGACCTTGAAGTGTGTGCTGCGGTGCTGCGGACTGCCAGCGCGGTGCGTGGGCCGGGGCTCCGGAGCTTGTTCATCTTCTAACTGCAAGTTTGTACTTGGACCAGCGTCTTGATTCCCACACTCCCTAGCCTCTCTGACCACTCTTCAACAGTTTCTGCTAGTTCCGCTTTTTACATTTCTTGGTTTAAAGTAGGTACCGTGTGCAACGTGGGGCTTGCACTCGGAACCCTGAGATTAAGAGTTGCGTGTTCTACCACTGAGCCAGTCGGGTGCCCGTAGTTCAGCTTGCTGAGTGGTGATACCGTACAGTATTTGCCTTTATGTGACTTACTTCACTTAACGTAATACCCTCAAGGTCCCATGCATGTTGTCACAAATGGCAGGACCTCCTTCCTTCTCATGGCTGAAATACATTCTCTTTGTATAAACCATGTCTTCTTTAGTCATTCATCCATTGATGGACATTTAGGATGTTCTGTACCTTAGCTGTTATTAATAACAAAGAGCAGGAAAATACTTACATACCCCACAAACTCCCATGTTTGACAGATGATTGAATAATCAATTTAACTTCCCAAAGATATAGCATTGCTATTAAAACAAGTTAAATCATAAAATATTAACAGTCAAAGAAACTTCTACATCATCTAGTCTAGGGGTCTGCAAACTATAGTCTATGGGCCAAATCCACCTATTTTTATAAATAAAGTTTTATTGGCACAAAGCCACAATCATTCGTATACATATTGTCAGTTTTCATTCTTTAAGTTTTTATTCAAATTCCAGTTAGTTAACATACAGTGTAATATTGGTTTCAGGTGTAAAATACATTGATTCAACAGTTGCATACAACACCCAGTGCTCATCACTACTACCTGTGTCGTCATCCTCCATCCCCGTCCCCCATCTAGCCCATCTCCCAGCCTCCTCCCCTCTGGTCACCTGCAGTGCGTTCTCTGTAGTTGAGACTCTGGTTCTTGATTTGCTTCTCTCTCTCTCTTAGAATAGGTTTTTGATTAGTCATACAAAAAGCATAGAAAAATAAATATCCATATGTGCACTACTCACCTTAAATAATAAAATGTTGCGCAAACAGTGGAGGCACCACAAAAGTCTTCTTCAGGCTCTTCCATTTTATGAAGACTCATCCAGATGAGATGACCACACGTCCACTCAGCGGGCACACGTACCACTCACAGTGCAGGAGGCAGGGGAGCGCGGGCTACCGGTAGCAGCGCCCTTCTCTCCCGGAGAGCCCGTGCTCTTCTCCGAGAGAGCGTTGTTCACTGGGTGCAGTCCACCGCCGTCGACCTTGCAGCCGTGCAAGGTGCCAGGGTCAAGCCCATAGTAGCACAGGGACGTCGAGATTGAACAGAAAGTGAGACCGTAGTCTGTTCTTCCACACAGCATGTGTTTGGCTGTCCTCCTGGCCCCGCGGCAGCACACTTGGGAGGCCACCGGTGGAAACTAGGGACCCTTCAGAAGCAGAGATTTTGTGTGACTCATTACTGTAACTGTGCCGTGCATGGCACGTGTAACATGAGCGTTTTATGACCAAACGAGTGAGCGAATTGAGGGTGATTCGTAAGTTCGTGCCTGTAACGTACGTGGTTAATTTTGAATTTTTGTGGCATTGTTTAAGGCTCTCCTGTTGTAAGAAGAAAGCAAATTGTTGAAGATAAGCAGAGAAGCCTTTTCGAACAGAAAAGACAAAACCCTGGATCTGCAGGAAAGAAGTGTGACGAGCGCGCGAATGTAAGTGTGGTGTTAACAACGCTGTCCCTTCCGTAGTGGAAGATCGCCTGGAGACAGAATGTTCTCGAAGGACTGTGATTTTGCTGTGAAGTGTGGACCGCAGCGTAAATGTAACTACGGCCAGGGTCAGTAGGAAGCAGCCCAGGGATCTCTGCCCTAGGGACTTAGCATACTGGACTTGTTTGCCCTCCTCTCTTTGTGCGATCAGTTACTAACGAAGTCGTTAAACCAACCGTAACAAACCAGCCTTATTCTTTTATTTATTTAATAAAATAAATACATGATATTTGTTACATGACAAATTGATACATGTTATTCGCAACCAAGTTTTTAAGTGTACATGAAAGAAGAAAAACAGAAAAGCAAATGAGAGCCCCGGACAGAGGAAGTTAAGTGTGAATCACGAAGACTAGCTCGTGTGTTAAATGTGCTCCGTGGAGTGGACCGGAGCTTCCTGCCCGCTGCGGCGGCGGTCAGCAGGGTGCGGAGTTCGCTTCTCAGGGGCCCCTGATCGCGATGCTGTTTGAGGCGCTGTTAGGAAGACACACTCCCCCTGAGGCCCTGCTGCGGGCGACGCGGAGATGCCTCTTCACGGTCAGCAGCGGACGAAGCAGGAGCTTCATGTGGCTGTTTGAGACGGAGGTTCAGTCAAAGTCAGATGCTTAATAGACGTCATTTTAAAATTAGTGGATGTCATCCTTTGAGAGATAAGTAAATGTGACCTAAATATGACATTTTCTGGACATGTAACCTCATCCGAGGATTGAATTTAAAATATTAAAACAGGGGCGCCTGGGTGACTGAGTCGGTTGAGTGTCTGCCTTCGGCTGGGGTCGAGATCCTGGGGTTGAGACTGCAGCTCCCTCTCTTGTTCCCCATTTCTGCTCTCTGTCTTGCTCTGTCAAATAAATAAAATCTTAATTAAATAAATAAACTATTAAAACATCTAGTGGATAAGTAAATAGCATTTCACTAGAATTTCCACTCTAAATAGCACTTCTGACGTTTGATAGCACTGGAGTAGAGTGCCTTAGGAAGAATTTATATCTGACTTATAAGTTCAGGATTCGATTATTTGTATATTGTGGGAACTATTTTTTTATATATAAATAAGATGTTTACTGTGGAGGAAAATCAACCGTGATGTTTTTTTTTTATTAATTATTTTTATTAACATATAATGTATTATTTGCTCAGGGGTACAGATCTGTGATTCCTCAGGCTTACACACTTCACAGCACTCACCATAGCACATGCCCTCCCCAATGTCTATCACCCACCACCTTCTCCCTACCTTCCCCAGCAACCTTCCGCTGGTTTCCTGAGATTAAGAGTCTCACATCGTTTGTCTCCCTCCCAATCCCTCTTGTTTCATTTTTGCCTTCCTTACCCCCCAAGTCCCCCACTTTGCCTCTCAAATTCCTCATATCAGATCATATGATAATTGTCTTTCTCTGACTGACTTATTTTGCTCAGCATAATACCCTCTAGTTCCATCCATATCGTTGCAAATGGCAAGATTTCATTTCCTCTGATGGTTGCATAGTAGTCCATTGTATATATATATACCACATCTTTATCCATTCATCTGTTGAGGGACATCTAGGTTCTTTCCATAGTTTGGCTATTGTGGACATTGCTGCTATAAACGTCGGGGTGCACATGCCCCTTCACATCATTACATCTGTATCTTTAGGGTAAATACCCAGTAGTGCGATTGCTGGGTCACAGGGTAGCTCTATTTTCAACTTCTTGAGGAACCTCCATGCTGTTTTCCAGAGTAGCTGCACCAGCTGGCATTCCCACCAACAGTGTAGGAGGGTTCCCCTTTCTCCGCATCTTCTCCAACATCTGTCATTTCCTGACTTGTTAATTTTGGCCATTCTGACTGGTGTGAGGTGGGATCTCACTGTGGTTTTGATTTGTATTTTCCTGATGCCGAGTGATGTGGAGCACTTTTTCACATGTCTGTTGGCCATCTGGATGTCCTCTTTGCAGAAATGTCTGTTCATGAACATGACGTATTCTTAACAGCAAAACAAATATCATTTAGTTCTGTACAATGTAGTAAAGTTGCATGTGACCATGCTATTCTTTTTTTTTTTTTCAGTGTTCTAAGATTCATTGTTTATGTACCACACCCAGTGCTCCATGCAATAGTGCCTTCCTTAATACCCACCACCACGTCCTCCCAACCCCCCACTCCTCTCCCCTCCAAGACCCCCAGTTTATTTCTCAGAGTCAGACTGTCTCACAGTCTCTTATGGTTCGTCTCTACCTTCAATTTCCCCCAATTCCATTCTCCTCTCCATCTCCCAATGTCCTCCATGTTATTCCTTATGCTCCACAAATAAGTGAAACCATATGATAATTGAGTCTCTCTGCTTGACTTATTTCACTCAGCATAATCTTCTCCAGTCCCGTCCATGTTGATACAGAAGTTGGGAATTCATCCTTCCTGATGGAGGCATAATACTCCATAGTGTATATGGACCACATCTTCCTTATCCATTCGTCCGTTGAAGGGCATCTTGGTTCTTTCCATAGTTTGGTGACTTAATGGTCATTGCTGCTATGAACATTGGGGTACAGATGGCCCTTCATTTCGCTACATCTGTATCTTTGGGGCAAATACCCAGTTGTGCAACTGCAGGGTCGTAGGGAAGCTCTATTTTCAATTTCTTAAGGAAATACCATGCTATTCTTTTTTTTTTTTTAAGATTTTATTTATTTATTTGACAGACAGAGATCACAAGTAGGCAGAGCAGCAGGTGGGGGGGGGGGGTAGGTGGGAAGCAGGCTCCCTGCTAAGCAGAGAGCCCAATATGGAGCTCAATCCCAGGACCCCAAGATCATGACCTGAGCCGAAGGCAGAGGCTTAACCCACTGAGCCACCCACAGGTGCCCCAATACCGTGCTATTCTTAATGCTTAGTACCCCAGCACTCACTCACAGACCCACCTCCTGGTGGTCAGTACCGTACCGCCTGAGAAGGCCTTCCTTCAGCCACTGTGTTGTTCACATCAGACGTCTCAGAACCTGTCAAGTGAACAAGGGCTATTTGTGTAAATGGATTTTAAATGCAAAGCACTATATAGTTGTCATAGCAACAACAAAAACCAGACTAAATTTGAAGTGCTCCGATGAGTGCGCTCCCTAAATTCATCTTTAGCTTTCTGGGTCTTACTCTGTCCTGTGTGTGCCCCTTTGCATGCTGGCGGCCTGCTTTTGAGCCCCTGTGTGTTGTTTCCAGAAGCCCCACGTCCGCCTTCCACTCACACACCTGCCTACATCTTCCACAGCCTCGTTAGCTTCAGAGTAGGTCAGTGTCCTGAGTCAAAATCAAGATTTAAAGTTTAATTTGTTTCAGCTCTCTTGTTCTGCTTTGATATTTGGTGTTTTGTTTTTTAACTGAAGAGCTGCCACAGGAGTGCAGTTACCGTAGCGAAGGCCCCATCGCCTTGTAGCAAGAAATGTATTTAATCAAACTTCCGCGGGGAGGGAATCTGAGAGCGATCGGTGAAGGTGGGAGAAGTGAGTCCTGCTTTGTGCCAGGACTGTGTCCACGCAGGGGACCTCCAGCCCCCAGGGGAGGCCAGGCGCGCCCGAGAGTGCGAGGACAGGGCTCTCGCAGACAGCTGCACCAGCGACTTGGGACCGGCCAGCCGAGGACAGGCCAGGGACAGGGGTAGCCAGGCCACCAGCTGAGCACAGTGTGCGGCAGCCCAGCCGGCCGCGTCCAGCCAGCCCGCACAGCACTGAGGAGTGTGCCCGCGGCCTGGCCTGCGAGGCTCCCCACTCACAGCTCTGTGCAAGTCTTGTCCTTGACACTAGTCCCCGTCGGAGCCTCTGCCCTTACAATGAAACACCGATTCGGTCATAAACCTTACGTTAACTGTTGCTGTTCCTTTAAGTAACACCCTACTTCCCCTCTTCCAAAGACCCAAGATAACAGGGCAACCTGAAACTTTTCCAAAATTGACAGGAAACATTTTCTTAAACATTCAGGTATCCTAGAAAGGACTTATCCCAGTAATTTTTGATTTCTGCTCCATGAAAAAGGAAATATACAGGTTACATGAGCAGTGATAACTGAAACTATATAGAGCGCACATGTTTCTTTTAATAAATGTATATCGTGAGTATTTAAATATGGAAACCTATTCTGATGTAATATTATATTTTGTAGAATTTGGAGCAAAGTGCCCAGCCAAGTTCAAGTGAGCCAAAACACACTACAAGGTGTACTTCTGATGTTGAAGAAGGTATGCTTCAGTTTAAAGGTGTTCTCTGAGCTTTGTTCCTAATGATTTCATTTTTTGTTATGTGTGTTTTCCCAAATACACACACAGCACGTGACAGGTAAGCCACCATGTGGGTTTTGAGCCCCTTATCCTGCACATGCGGACTGTTGCCAGGTGTGTGCGTTCTAGGTGATAATGAATTGAGCTTCTTTCTACATGAAGCTTTTCCCTGACTTTTCAATCATTTCCATAAGACAGAGATCCCAGGGATCACAATTACAGTATTTGACATGTCGTTGGCACCTGATAACTCTTTGTCAAATGAATTCTCTGTATTAAATGAATACTGGACCAGAGGGAATAAGCTCCTTATGCAGATTCAAAAGTATTTTTCTGAGAAATAACATTTAAAACTTTTCTGGGACATATGCTAACTTGACGTAGAATTATTTCTATGATTTGCTTACAAAGAAATTTTGCATGTAACTTTACTTTTGGTGAATTGCTCCTTCATATGGTTTTCTCTATAGATATTGGAGTTCTGTTATTTCCTTACTGATTTTTGCAAATTCTTTAAATATTAAGGGTTCTATTATTCATATTAGTTGCAAATGTTTTTATTACTTTATTATTTGCATTTTATTCTATTTATGTGTTTATATTTAGAAGACTTCCTTTTTATTGTTTCATTCAACAAATGATTGAGAGCTAATTGCCTGCGAACAGCTACATATTGGATATAGAATAATGCACAAAACACACAGAAGTCTTGCCTTTCAGAAACTTCAAATCTATTAGGGAAGACCACCCTTTAAATAAACACGTTCTCTAGTCTTTACTTAGTGATTTCCCCGTTACTTTTAAGACCGAAGAACCTTCCCAATACAGAAGTTCAGAAGTGTTTCTTTCTTTCTCCTCTAGATTGCTCTACTGGTTTCATTCCTTAAGGTCTTTACTTTCCTTTGAATTTGTTTAAATGGATGATGTACAGGAAAACTGCAAATTGATTCTTTTATAAGCAGCAAACTAATTTGCTGAGTCACCTTTCCCTTTCCTTAAGACTCGGATTCTTCTCGGATCATACGTCAAATTCTCGTGTGTTCATGGGTCTGTCCCTTGGCAGTCAGTTCTGTTCAGCCCATCCCCTCCTTTTCTAACTTTTCTTTGCTTTCCTTTTATTTTACTCTTTTATTCATAACTTATCTTAATCGTTACTCTAAAGAATCTACTTCAACTTCTCTTTGAATTACCAATGGATAGCAAAAACACAACACAAACATAATCTAAAGGTGATATGTTTTTCCTTTAGCTCAGATAACATGCGAGGGGTGTTCATGGCCTCCCCGTCATCATCTTGAATTTCTGTTTTTTTAATCAGGGATGAGAAAATGCTAGCTGCAGATAATCCCAACAAATAAAATGCAAAGTAACAGAAGATTTACTGGGTTTCTATTTGTGAAGTGAATACACACAGATGCATGTCAGTTAAGTAGGGATGTGGGAAGACCACAAAGACAAAGAAGGGATCAAAGAATACTTAATGTAAAGTTTCTGTAGTTTCAGACAGTACTTCTCGGTTTTTGATGGCTGAAAACGTAGTGAAAGCTTCAGTGCCTGAGGTTGAAATCCTCACTGTCATGAACAGCAGGCAGCTACAGAAACCAAATCTGTCTTTAAATAAGACCCAGCCATTTAACATCTGTGTGCTCTCAGCTGCGGAACAGAAGCTCCTCCAGTCCCTCAGTCACCTCAATGAGAGGTTCCGCTGGGAGTACGGAAGACCACCTTTCATAAGAAATGTTATATTTTGTACTTAGACCATTTTAATTTAATTTAAAAATTGGAAATAAAAATACAAAATGTATCCAGATTATTAGGTACTTAAATCAAATACATAACAGTTAAAAAATATTTTTGAGCAGGGGTGCCTGGGTGGCTCAGTCAGTTAAGTCTTGATTTCAGCTCAGACTGTGATCTCAGGGTCCTGAAGTTGAGCGTGCCATCAGGCTCCGCGCTCAGCGTGGAGTCGGCTTGAGATCTCTGTCTCTCCCCCTCTCCCCACCCTCTCCCTCTCTCTAAAATATATATGAACGTGTGTGTGTGTGTGTGTGTGTGTGTGTCTATTTGGGTATACCCTACTATTTCAAGTGTACCATACTCAGGTCAGTTATGATGATGTTAATTTCTTTGACAGGCTTGTCTGTCTTCTAGGAATGTATGAATTCTCTTCTATTTCAGCAACATGACAAGCTAGGTATCTTTACTGACATCTTTCAAAAACAACCATAAATTCCAGATTAAGTATTTTTTAAAATCTTACATATAACAATAAACTGGTAAGAATATAAGGAATTCCTTCGGGAGAAGGACAGAGGAAGAAGGAGAGAGAGAATCTTAAGCAGTCTGCGCGCTTAGCATGGAGCCAGCTGTGGGGCTAGATCTCACGACCCTGAGATCATGACTTGAGCGGAAATCAAGAGTGAGACACTTAACTGACTGAGGCCCCCCAGGCGCCTGAATATAAGGAATACTTAAGACTAGGAACTGAATATAGATAAAGCCCAGAAAGCTGAAATGCGGTATCTAGCTGGTGTCTTGAGATTTCTTTAACCCACACAGTGGAATTGAGCTTTGCTCTTCACGGCTTCACAGAAGAAGGGACGGGTGACAAAACCCAGGGCCTACTCAAGCCGGTGGTCTCGCAGGAGATCCACCCCCCGCCCCCACATGAGCCCGGCCTCCTGAAGACCTGGAGCCTGTGGACAGACACGCGCACCAGGACAGGGAGGGCTGGAAGAGGCTCGCACGTCTTGAGTTTCAGGATTGAGCAGATGAGGGAGGAAGACGCACAGGCTTTTCTCACCTCCCTCTGTGTGTCTGTGCAGGATGTAGCACTTTCTCTGTGAGATTTTGTTAATACCACATTCTTACCAAAGGAAATTCTAAAGACTGCGTTTCAGAAAACCAAGAGTAATCTCAGATGGACAGTCCGAGGGGGGAAATTTGAACCAACATTATACAAAACAAAAAATTAATAAAGTAGTGTGTGTTTCAAAGACAATAATGTTAGCCTTAAAATACTTGTTAAAAGTAGTGTATAAGTTGGGAGAACATAAACGGTGTTAAAGTGTAGTAGGCTTCTTCTTAAGGAATTCGGTACAGTTTAACTTTTTTTATTCAAGTATAACTAACATACAGTGTTGCATTTGTCACAGGCGTACAATACAGTGATGCCACAGCGTGTGCATAACTCAGTGCTCATCACTATAAGTACGTTCCTCGTTCCGTCTCCCCTCACCTGCCCTCCGCCCCTCCCATGACCGTCAGCTTGTCTTCCACAGTTCAGTCTGTTTCTTGGTTTGCCTTTTTTTTTCCTTTGCTCATTTGCTTTGTTTCTTAAATGCCACATATGAGTGAAATTGTACACTCTTTGTCCTTCTCTGACTGACTTATTTCACATAGCGTTATATTCTCTGGGTCAGATTGACTTTAGATATTGGTAAAGGAAGTATGCTTCTGGTAGTTACAAGGGTCACAATGAAAGGACCAGAATAAAGTATACAATTTCCAAACTGGTAAAGAAGAAAAGTGGCATACAAATACATATATATATATGTATGTATGTATGTATATGTACACACACACACACACACACACATCTCAAATTGATTCAAAATAAGACAAAAATGGAGAGAAAAATAAACACAGAAGACACAGAACGGATAGAAATACGGTACTATAAAATGCCGAGTACAAATGTACTTACAAGGAATGTGTGGATTGTATGTTAAAAGATCTTTTTAAAATCTATGCTTTTATGACACAACCATATTTTGTTTATAAACTATGTATTTAAAGTTTTAAATACAGGTATAGAAGAGCTGAAAATAAAAAGTTGGAAAATATGTACCAAGCAAATTCTAACCAAAAGAAAACTTATTTCAGTGTATTATTATCAGACGAAATTGACTATAACACAGAAAACATTAGTAGACATAAAAAAGATCATGATGATTGAAGCTTTAATTTAGGAGACATATATAAAACATTTTCATTTTATATGCATTTAGGAACATGCCTCAAAATATATAAAATGTGTTTTGGCCATTGTGGGAGATTCCTTTTTCTGCGCTGCTAGTAACTGATGGAACAAACAGACAAAGTAAATCAATAGATGTGTAGGAATCAACCAGGGTTCCGAAAGTGATTAAAGGGACACATTCTTTGCAAGTATACCTGGATGATTTATTAAAACGAGCCACATATTATATCATAAAACAAGCCTGAAGCATTACAAAGGATTGGAGTTATGCACAGACTGACCACAATGCAATTTAGCTAAAAATGAGTAACAAAAAGATAACCATTAAGAGCACATTTCTAGGGGTGCCTGGGTGGCTCAGTTGGTTAGGGGTCCAACTCTTGATTTTGTCTTAGGTCGTGATCTCAGGATCATGGAATCGAGCCCCACGTCCAGCTCCCTGCTCAGCATAGAATCTGCTTGTCCCTCTCCTCCTCCTCCCCACTTGTGCTCGCTCACTCCCTCTCTCTCTCTCAAATAAATAAAATCTTAAAAGAATAAAAAAGAAACATACTTTTTTTCCTTTTAAAAATTGTATTTATTTATCTGACAGAGATCACAAGTAGGCAGAGAGGCAGGCAGAGGGGGAGGGGGAAGCAGGCTCCCCACCGAGCAGAGAGCCCGACTCCATCCCAGGACCCTGAGATCATGACCCGAGCCAAAGGCAGAGGCTTTAACCCACTGAGCCACCCAGGCGCCCCGAAACATATTTCTAAATAAACTGTGGTTCAGAGAAAATATCATAATGAAAATTACAAAACATTCACTTATTTTAGAAAGAGGACATAACCGTTAGCTCACCTGTGGCAGAGTATGGAAGAAAGAAATGCCACGTTCCATACAAGCTGATATTGGGAATTCTGCTTAAATTTTTAACGAAGTGTTGAAGTATAACGGTGAACTACTCTGAGAACGGGAGCCACAGACAAGGCCCTGAAGCCCACTGCAGAACCTTCTACAGAACAGAGGCTGTGGGGTCCTGCGACAGAGGCAGCAAGACTGCTGGGGGGAGGTGAAGGGGGAGAAAAAAAGCTTCTACTCTGTAGGCAGGGAGGCAGAACAGGCTGGGCCCAGAGCCTCAGAAGTCTCCCACTGTCTGTTGGAGGACGGGCACAAAAGTCTCTTGCATAAAACTTGTCAGAGATATAAGACAGATGTGACAACGAGAACAGACAGCTTTCCTGGCAGCTCCAAGAAGGGAATTTCCTTTTGGTTTAAAGAAAAAGAAGAAGAAAGACAAATGGAAAAGAAAAGAAAACCTAGTATTTGTATAAAGATTGTTATAGAATGGTCAAAGTATTAGGAATTCCTTTTTATCAACTTAAGTTTTATGTCCTTGTTTGTTTGTTTTTTTTAAAGATTTTATTTATTTATTTGACACAGAGAGATCACAAGTAGACAGAGAGGCAGGCAGAGAGAGAGGGGGAAGCAGGCTCCCCGCTGAGCAGAGAGCCCGATATGTCCTTGTTTTTAACCAAACTACTTCTGTTTCCTACCTAATATTAGTGTAAACACCATATCTGGACACAATAGAAAAAAGACTCTTAACTCAGTTTTAGTATTTTGTTATACCAGAATTTAATATCTGATTCTTTAGTGGTTTTTCTTGGTCAATATACATAACTAAATTACTTTTGTGTCGTGGCATAATTCTTTCAGATGTACAAGAAGCCATTTGCAAGAATCCATCCATCAAAAATACCTTACAAATAATACCACTTCTGGTAAGCATTTTAAGAAGCTTTTTTTTCCCTTATTTTAGGAAATGTCATGATTTCATGTGTAAGCATCCTGTATTGAAATTAATTTTTCTCGAGATTGGCTTTTAGCAAGTTTTCCGCCTCAGTTAACTTTCAATTATGACATGTTTTGTTAGAATCAGCAAATATCTTCTCATTTGCTAAGATCAAAATACAAAGTTTTTTTTACATCTGGAATATTCCATCATTCATGGGAACAGCAACAGGGATCAGTGTACTACTCTCCAGATAATTTTGGGTGTGTAGCCTAGCTGGAAAATTACTAAGAATTCTACCTTGGTAAGGTTTCCACCTTTGCTTCCGTCCCTTTCGTGTCTTTGAAGTTCAAAACTAGACATTGCTATTTGGAAGGGTTTTTTATTTTTTTGCATTAACAACTGAATTCTGGTAAATATACACATATAAATGGCAATTTATTGCATTAAGGAGTTTTCAGGCTAACAGGGAGAAAGAGCCCGTGGAAAGTGTACACCAGTCACTGTAATGTGACTTGAGACCATGTGTGGGCGGCACGGCCTTAGGAAATCGCAGAAGGAAGAGATCGTAGTGGCCAGAGGTGACCAGAGACAGGTCTCTGGAAAGGGCATCTGAGACTACGATGCTTTCTGTAGTGTCGCGGTCATCAAGGTAGGTGTTCAACAAGGAGACGTTGGTTAGGGGATTAACTGGATGCTCGCTCAGTTCTGAAGTCTGGAGGGAGAAGTGAGATTACGCAAGTCTGCTTCATTCCCTATTATTTTCTGTCACATAAACAAAGGGATACGTTTCTTACCACGTTTTAGATATTTGCTTATGTCTTAGATACGCCTGTAAGTAGTAAGAGGCTGCCCCTGCCTTCTTACGCTTTTTCTTTCCCTCTGGGCAAATGGTTCTCGGAAGCAGCCTTTCTGCTGCCCTGAGTGGTACACACAGCGCCTGTGACATCTGTCACTTCGACCCCTGACAGATGTGGACACGGTTGCTCTTCACGTGCCAGCTGGCTTTTTGCTCAATCTCTCACCTCTGTCGATTCAGCCACTTCAGTAATTCTTGCAGTGACAATTTTCGTGTGTCTGAATGTGTGACAGTTTTGTTGTTTATGGCATAAGTGGTTGTCACCTCACCCGGGCGAGAGAAAGCCCACGGTGAGGGAGATCACTTCTCTCCACGGCCGCTCAACCTGCGAACAGTGTGTGACCCCAGACAGCCGGCGGCCTGACCGTAGACACTGCCGAGTGAGGAGAGGAGGTCTCGGAGTCCCCAGAGCACTCGGCGGGTGCGCCGGTGCTCCGCGCTGTGCACAGAAGCCTCGGCTCGTGCCTGGAGGGCTCCTAGTGTAGACGACCGCTGACAGGCCAGACTCGATTCTGTCTGACCTCTCACACCCGCTAGGACAGTTGGTAACCGTGGGCTTCTTTTAGTCCCTTCATCTCCAGACGTGTCCCTCTTCTTACTTCGTCATCACTGACCTAGGTCGGAGACCTTCCATTTATTTTCAGGAGAAATGGTCTAAAATCACAGATGTTAACTGCTTGTTTGAACAGCTGACGTGACAAGCATCCACCCCTCCCCCATCAGAATTGCTTCATTTGCATGTTCTGCAGGGGGATCGCAACATTTATTTGCCCTTTTTCTACTATTTTAATTTTTACTTTTCAATTGGATTTGCTGATTGTTGACATTTTGTCATACTTGCTTATCTGACAGATGGAAGGACGGGTGGATGGATGGATGGAAGAGTAGAATGAATAGAAGAGGAAAGGACAGGAGAGAGACTCTCTCGCGCGTGCACGCGCACACACACACACACACACACACACACACACACACACCCCTCCGTGAGCTGTTTGAAAGTCAGTTACAGACATGACGATATTTCCCCACTAAACCTTAAGCATCCGTGTTCTCCTAAGAACAGACGCTCTCCTGCATGACCGCAGCAGCACCCTCCCGAGGGGCGGACACTGACACACGCTCAGATTTAGATTCTCCAGCTGGAAAAGGAAGTGTCTTCTGTGGCTGCTTTACTCCTCCGATGCCGGACGCAGCCTGGGGTTAGACGCCGCAGTGCACGTCTGCTCTCCTCCCTCTCCAGCCTTCCCTGCGCATGGACGCCTCTCCAGAGGCTGAGCCCGGGGCCTCGAGGGCTGTCCCAGGACGTGGAGGCTCCCAGTGGTTTCCTCAGTAGATACGGCTTAACGTTTGTGGTGGACGCAGCGTTTCACAGTTTGTGTTCTCAGAGCGGCTTTTGTCACCTGCTTGATTGTACCTCTATCTTGGCTTCCGGTGTTCTGTTTAGCTGCGTTTAACTCATTTTGAGTCCAGAAGACAGATGTCCAAGCTTTTAGAGTTACGTGTGAAGCACGCACAATACGTGCTTCGTGCCTCCCCCAGGAATAAAGTGAACGGGCTCAGCTCGTCTTCCGCCTTTTGTTTCCATCACGATAGGTGTAGTCTTTAGTCCCGATCCACTGGCCTCTGGAAAGCTTTCAAAATTTGTTCCTGTCTGTCCGTCACAATTTCAAATAAGTAAAATTATTTAATATGTACGTTCTAGAAAGGCACGGTGTAATCATGTTCCTATACTTTGTGTGCGTGACACAAGAGACCACTACAGCTACCTCGTTTTTACCAGGACGCTAGTGCTATAGCCCAGTTCTCTCCATATAATGGCAGAAATATCTGTTCAGGAATATTTGTTGGTTTGGAGATGTTGCAGGTAAGGTTTTTATTAATGTTTCTTATTTTATTTTACATTTCCACTCCAATGTTTTCATACCCATATGAACTTATAAGAATTTCTTTTCAAATGATAATGTATGTCATGTGTGTCCAGCTTTATAATTTAAAAGCATTATGTAGTTAACTCAGGAACTGAATTACTCAGCAGAGCAACACTCACTCTTACGTGAGAAACCTACCAGATGCCCCAATATAGAAAACTCAAATGTTGTTGGTTTAAGATTTGAGAATTTATGTTTAATTCTCAAAGATCATACACCTCTCTGGAGAGTGCACAACCTGGGCGAAGTTTATACATTAATGCACATTAATTAATACTCTTTGGTGGCAAGTGGACCTTATTGTTGCCAGATGGTTTCACACACACACTCTTGTGTAATCTTCTAAGTGAGGGACATCAAGTAATTCTCTTGAGTCTGAGAAATGTTCAGGGGCAGAGCGAGGATTGGCCCTTTCCCCTGTTCCCCCCCAAATCTCTTCTCCCTTTTGTAATTCTTACTCCAGTTGATGCCACCATCGTCCCCCAGATTTCCCAGTCAGAGTGTGTGCCTCATCCAGGCTTCGCGTGGTCCCGCAGCCCGACAGTAGACCGCCCTAAGGGCACTAAGTGAGCCTCCGCCGCACCCAGGACTCTTCCCTCCTGCGGCACGTGTCTTAGTCCCACCTCGGGGTTCCCGGTCTTAGCCCCGCAGCATCCTGGGGTGTTCTGTGAGCCGCCGCTGCCTCTCCTAGAGCAGAAGACCTCCGCTTCTGACCGCTCACACGGCCGATGATGACAAGGGCAGAAAGAGTGGAGATGAGGGGTTCTTGCTGAGTGTGCTGCCTTCCACCGCTGGGACTCGTGGGGACCGAGGGCTGTGCAGCCTTACAGGGACCGAAGTACCCTTTCGTGTCCCGCCGCAGTCTGTGATCTGTGAAGAGGGGCCCGCGGGAAAGCCCGTGAGTGCTGGCGCGCAGTGACCCCGTCCCTTGTGTTACAGAACAGCCGGCCGAGAGGCAGCCGGTCTCCGGGGGTCGGATCCAGGCTGCAGAGGAAATACTGACGGACCGCGGCGGCCAGTCGTACTGTCCTCGCGGCCGCTGACAACGGCCTGTAAATAGAGCATAGATTTCCGCATTTGTTAAGGATTTAAATACTACAACCATAAGGTAAAGGTAAATCATAACATGAGTAATGGAGATAAATTGACTGGTTTACATTTATGCTACAAGGTTATTATATATTTTATTGATAATACATTTTTAGTGAATGGAAATGCTTCATTGTTTTTAATGAGCATGCTACTGAAAACGCATGCATTATATTTGAAAATAAAACAGGGTATTTTGTTATTCAAATTATGTATTAGCTGTAGTTGTGAAGCTTTGTTTTTCTGAAATTCCTAATAAATTCTATTAAATTTTGGTACAGTGGTGTAAAAAGTTCATGATTAATCAATACCCCATATAAACAGTAAAGCCATCTAAGACTTGGAAGGATCTCTGTACTTGGAGGTGTTACCAAAGGGTGTTAATTACGAAAACCAAAAGAAACTCCTTGTATAATCATGAAACTCCTTCTATGATTTTAGAAGTTTTTTGTAGAATTATGATAATTTCATGTATCTTCTTACTTTCCCTCACCCACTTCTACTTCAGACTCTCATCTAGACAGTCCGGGAAAGCTGACAGATGGCATTTGTAAGTGTGGTGGACTGGCAGAGTAAAATCTGTCGTGTCAATCCCATCTTAGGGGCGCCCGGGGGGCTCAGTCGGCTGAGTGGCTGACTCTTGGTCTCAGCTCAGGTCTTGATCTCAGGGTCGTGAGTTCATGCCCCGCGTTGGGCTCCTATTTAAAAGTTTTCAGCTCTCTCCCTTTGGCTGCTAGAGGGACCGAGCGTATAAGGCTCTCTGTATCCTGAGTCCTCCCTGTTTGCGCTAATGCCCAGACCCCTTGCAGCCCAGCCTGCCGTCCCATGCCTCTCTGCCCAACTGCACGCTGTCCCCTAGCTCGGAATGCCTTCGTCAACCTCCGCTGACATCTGCCTGAATCACGTTTACTCTTTCTTCCAAATTCTACTCAGGTTGAACGTTCTCTGATGTTTCCTAATAATTCTCTGCCACCTTTGTATAAATTATGTCCTTTGCGTTCTGAACCACAATTATTTCTGTGTATATATCCCTCTCGTAGATAAAGTGCTCCTGGCAGCTAACGGTTGTCAGTGGCGTCTGTCCCCTGAGGAACTAAAGTGGGGGACACAGCGGCAGATCAAAATAACGAAGGAAAGGAAAATATTCAACTGTGCGCTAGGTGCTGCTCCGTGTATTAGGGAGACAGTAAAAACAAAAGTAATTATTTTCTTCTATCACGGACTTACATTTTAGTCGGGAATACAGATTTCCAACATAAGCAGCCGTCACCGGAAGGTTAGAAGGCGCGGCAAGGGAAAGCTGGGCGGGGGCGGGGCGGAGTACTGGGGTCCACGGGAGCCCGCTGGGGTGCACGGAGACGGTGTCTGAGGACTGAAGGGAGGGGAGCCAGCCCTGGCAGCCGCAGGGGAGCAGAGCGGCCAGAGGGCAGGAAAGTAGGCTGTTCTCTTAGCGAGGACTGGGGAACCGGCGGGGGTGTCCGGAGGAAAAGAAAGCGAACAGAGGATTGGAACAGGGCTTCCTGTCACCCATGGCTGGTGGCAAAATGCATTTCCTACTCTGAGAGGTCCAGGGTGGGACTGAGACCATACCAGGGCTGCTGCTCCCTGGACCCATGTGGAACCACAAGGGTCTGGAACATAACCTTGGCCGCATATTGAAATCACATGAGGAACTTTAAAAAATCTTGACGTCTGGGTTACCCCGGGGGGCGATTTGAGCATTGAGATTTTTTAAAGCTCCCCAGACAAATTATAATGAGAAGCCAAGGGTAAGAAACAGTAATGCAAACAAGTAATGGGGCCGGGGATCAAATCCAGTCTGGGCGCCCTCTCCAGCTGGCGGGCTTGGGGACGACCCAAGGGCAGCGACCATGCTGCGGACAGTGTCTTTCTGGACCCGCCTCGCCCCCCGTCCACCGCAGAGGTGGCCGTACACGTGACTGACCGGTACTGGTGGTCAGGAGTGCGGGAAGAGCTCCGTGGGCCTCCGCCGGGAGCGGCTCTGGCTTCCCTCCTCACCAGCAACAGATGCAGGCTCTTCCCATTCCCTGCTTCCTGGGTTCGGGGTTCAGGACTGTTCCTGCGGGGGTTTGCTGCACTCTCAGAGTCCGCCCTGAGTACCGAAAAGCCCACGGAGGAGGGGACAGACTGACACAGGGCACCCAGCTTCTTCGCTCCACAGCATCTTCTCGCCGCAGCCCACTGACCTCAGCAGCACCCCACCCCCGGCCACCGCAGGCATCAGCTGACACCCACGGGGACCTCGACACCCAAGCCCCCTCCTCCTCACTGCTGCAAGCTCTGGAGTCTGCACCTCTGTTGTCCCCTCCCAGACCCTCCTTCTCCAGTTCCTCCCATAGGGGGTAAGATGTCATTCTTGTATTCCCTAGTCCCAGGATTCTGAACAGCGGCTGTGTTGTCCTGACTGATACAGTCTGATGGAGGAGACACACGTGGGAGATGAATGCGATTCTGAATTTTGGGGGAAAACTTGAAATGAAAAGGAGAGAATGAATGAAAAGGAGAGAAGAGCCTCCCAGGTCTAGATGAGACAGAACCAGGAGACAGGGAGGAAGCAGGGTGCGACACCGTCCTGGTAAGTGCCCCAATTATCTAGAAAGGAATTTCAAATAAGGAACTTGAAATACAGATGCTAAAAAATTAGGACTTATAACTACGCTCTCACATCTGAATTTTTTTTTAAAGATTTTATTTATTTATTTGACAGAGAGATCACAAGCAGGCAGAGAGAGAGGAGGAAGCAGGCTCCCCGCTGAGCAGAGAGCCCGATGCGGGGCTCGATCCCAGGACCCTGAGATCATGACCTGAGCCGAAGGCAGCGGCTTAACCCACTGAGCCACCCAGGCGCCCCTCACATCTGAATTTTTAATGAAATTATAAAATGGGCATTTCCAAAACGGGAATTTTACCTTTTTGAGTAGAATGGTACTGAGGAAAGTAACACGAGGATTGAGGCCAGTGGTTCTGGGAGAACTCAGGCAGGCCTCACCAAATTAGGTCCTTTTCTGACATGCCAGCCCAGTGTGTAGCTGCAGGGTTTGGGCAGCTGTGTGTCCGCTGCTGCGTCACATGTCCAGGAGGAGAACGGGGACAGGACTAGCAGCTGCAGGGACTAAGTGACTTCTCTCTCTCTAGGACTGGGCGCACCTTTTTGCCAGCACCATTCCCAGGAAAGCAAGTGAGCCACCAGACTGCTCCTGAAGTGGTGTCCCAACCTGGGCTTGGAGAGCAGCGAGGTCCGGCAGGGCTCCGGGGAGAGCCAGCTCCGTGCTCAGGTGCAGGAGACCCGGCGCTGCTCCCTGGGGGTAGAGCACACCCACGTCCTTCCCGGAGCACTAGTGCCGGGAGCAGCTGCAGAGTGATGGAAATAGACGTGAACTAGAAATGTCTGTTTATGAAACCTCTTACGGTAACTTGTGAGGGCATTTTACAAAAAAATGGTATTTGGGCTTTTTTTAATTATCCATTTGGGTATAATATATAGTCCCAAAGTTACCACAGCCCCCAAAATGGCCCTTGGTGGCAGCATCAGAGCCAAGGTTAGCTCTCTGTGTGGCAGAGGGAGGCCCTCCCGGAACCCTGGGATCACACTGTCTTCCAAATCGAACGGTTGGCACTTTGGGACTACAAAAAAAATTTTTTTTTTACATTAGAAGGTAATGAATCAAAATTGGAAATTGCAAGATTTAAGGGAGCAAATTCTTGTGGCTTTTAATGACCCTGCTCACTTCCGGTTTGCAGAGCCTGGCCTGGGAGGTGAGGGACCACACCCTGCCACGTGCGGGCACGTGCTGTGACTTCACCCCAACGGACAGCCGAAGAGCCACGTGTTCGTCGCCGTTGACAGAGGAGCGCAGAGGCTCAGAGACGAGCCCGCTCCCCGCCGGCCGGCCCCCCAGGGTCACGTAGCTGGTCAGTTGCGGCATCACGGTGCACACCCAGGTCTGGCTGGCTGCAGCCCCCGTGTTCTTTCTGCCATGCTCTCTGGGGAAAGCAGGAACTGCAGGACCAGTTAGGGAGAAGGGAAAAGGAAATGAAAAAAGGACGGCAACAGGAAACATTTTGTACTTTCCTATTTGGGGAGGAGAAGCATAGGACTTAGGAAAAGTAAAAGCTAATAGAAAAGTTAAAGGTCAGGTTTTAAAAAACAGAAAGCTGCACACCTCTACTAGTAAATATTTGAGGCATTTTGTGCACATCAAGATACAGTTTTGTGAATTGGGATATTATTTATAAAATGACATTCCAGTGGGCGAAGCAGGCCAAAGGGCTACGCCGTGATTTCTGTGGAGCCTTCCAAGCACCTTGGATTACAACTCAGCTTTTTTTTTTTTCAAAGCAAGGATTTGTACTTCGGTGTCACCATCGCTGTGCTCAGCGTCAGCCCACGTGCCGAGCCCACGCCGCAGCTGATAGTCTCTTACCTTTTACCTGTGTCCCCGAGAATGTCTCTACAAGCAAAGCGTCGTTTAAAATAGTTGAACTCTGGTCGAGTCTGAGCAAACACACCTCTCTGGTGAGCTTAAAACGCAGGACGAGTCTTTATTTTTCTAGTATTTGAACATTAGGATGCCATCGTTTCGTAAGCCTGTGGGGCGACCCAAATCCCAGTGCAGCACTGGCCAGAACACCTCCAGAGAGGGGCACTGGGGCTTAGCGGAGCTGGGGGGGCCGCTGTCAATGACAGAGGCACACGGGAACTGTAGGGAATTAAAGCGGAAGAGAATATCTATAGAAGTGAAAACTAGTGACAATGTGATTCATATATAGACAAGGAAGAAAAATGCCTTCCACACTGACTTTTACATTTTAGGAAAAAAGGACCTCTTTCCGACTGAGATGGTAAATTTTCTCAAATTTGCATGGAGATGCATTTCCTCTTGGTGGTACACGCTGTGTGGGCATGGTCAAGGCCGGGAGCCTTGCGTGTCCACACCCCAGCGGCCTGCGCCCCACATCTCCTGCCGGTTCTGCCCTTTCCAGAAAGGGGCGCTGCTAGGACTGAGCCACCAGCATGAGCACGAGCATGGGGACGGGTCCGAACACACACACAGACCTTG